CCAGAATTAAGGGTTTTTTTTTTAACTCAGCTCATGTTTTATTTAAGAATCAGAGCAGTATTGGATGATGCTATTTTTAATGTTTCTGTCTAGGCGTACTGAGCAAATAAGCAAATTACTAACAAATGGGCATAATTGAAAACAACATGTTTAACTTACGTAGCGCTATGGACTCAGTTTTGTGAGCATAGACAACTATGGCATCTGTAAACAATCTATATTCACAAGCGTGCAGCTGGGAGTTAAAAGTTACCCCAGACAGGTTTCCATTCTTGCCCAAGCAGCAGCTCGCTTTCCGAGGGTTACTAATTATAGTCTTGCAGCTCATGTTGAGCCTTCGTTGTGTACACATATTGTGATCAATATTTCTCAAGAGTTTGCATGGAATCCAAATTGCTTAACAGGGCTAAATAACCAAGGCAGGATGTGTGTTTTCCGAAGCCTTGTGAAGAGCCCTGTTGACACTTCTCATATGTGCACGATTTGCTAAATGGCTTTAAAGTTTGTGCTTCTGCCAACACAGTACTTAATATCACTAGAATTAGAAGCAGAAAACTGTTGTTGAAAGCTTTGCTCTAGAAAGGTCAGTTTTGAACTGGCTGGTTAATATAATAAATGGAAAATAGGACTTTATTTTCCTCTCTGTCTTCATTGGTGGACAGTAACCTTTGTTCAGCTGCTGAAAAAAAAAAAAAACATTTGTGAACTTCTAATAAAATTGCTACTGAATGGCCTCATTTTATATTGTTGTTTTTATTGACCAATAGTGCATAAAATTATACAGATTAATTTCCGGGAGAAAGTACACCTAATTGTGCGTACACATACATAATATATGTATTTACGAAATCCATGTGAGTTCATTTTTAGCATAATGTACATAAATAGCATGGTGGAGCCACAATGACAATAATAATAGTAGAAATTATAACTAACTTCCTCAAACTTTCAGGTTTTGTGTCTCTAACGAAGGCATATACTTAAATCGTATATCTTAATGTGATAGCATTTGGAGACTGAGTATTTAGGGGTAATTATTTAGATAGCCAATGAGGATTGGATTAGTACTGTTAGGTTAGTACTCTTTTGTAACAAAGATTTATTTATTTATTTATTTATTTATTTATTTATTTATTTGTTAAGCATACAATGTTCTTCTGGCATGAAAGGCACCAGATCTCACAGATGGTTGTGAGCCACCATGTGACTGCTGGGAATTGAACTCAGGACCTCTGGAAGAGCAGCCAATGCTCTTACTCTCTGAATCATCTCTCCAGCCCCAAGGGTTAGTACTCTTAGAAGAGATTTATAGAAATTTCTTCCTTTCTTCCCACCCTCATTCATGGAACAAACAGGATGTTAGGACATAGGGAGGCACAGCTTTCTGCCCCTCAGGAACCGACCTATCACATATTACCGTCCCCAGAGCATCTTGGTCTGAAAGTGCCAGTTTCCAGAACAATGAGAAATAAAGTTCCATTGTTTTATCCACCCAGGCTGGGATTTCTTTCCATAAAAGCCTGTGCTAACAGAGTTGCAATGTGTGTAATCTCTCTACTGCTGTGCTATATAGACTTAGACATTGTCAGAATTAATTTGCATATCTAATAGGCTGTCCTTTCATCCAGCTGGGACACAGGGCTTTTTTCTTGTTCATCATTTTTACAGGCAATGATGTCAAAAAGTCATTAATTTTTCAGATCACTTTTGTTTGCATTATAAGAATTAGCAACTCATTTTCATTATGGGTCCCTTCTCCCTAAAAGTTACAGTTTCCTGCTTTTCTTACTCTATCTGAAGAGAGAACAACAGTCCATTAGGAGGCCAGGCGGTTAGAACCCAGGCTCACTAGCTGAACTGTCACTCCAAGCAGTCGGAATTCAACAATAAACCTGACATAGTATATTCTTGTTCTGACAAATACTCAGACCTAATAACTCCAGTATTGCCTCTTGATTTGGCCCCATCTAAAATAAACAGCCCCCCTTTCAATCTTCAATGCAGAATTAAATGGAAATTCAAAATGACCAGTAAGTCCTGCTGTGTGTGTGGATGGGGGGAGTGTGAGTGCATGCATGTGAGTGTGTAACAGAGGCTGGGGGTGGGTTGTACATGTGAAGGCCAGGGGACAACCTAGGTACTCTTTCTCAGTCAGTGTTCCCTTTTGTTTTGAGATATAGTTTTATAAGCCCCCTAGCCAGCCCCAGGGATTTCCCTGTCTCTGTCTCCCCAGGACTGGTATTAGAAGTGTAATCTATTGTACATGGTTGTCTAGGTTATTGTAATCATGTAAAATTCATGGCCACCAGAAAACATGTATCTCCTATTAGAGAAGTGATTACATTGATTATTTGGAGGCTGTTTTTCTTGGTCAAAGAAATATGTTTTGTTTTTTGTTTGCCTAGTTAGTTTTACTACTGCCATTTTTTAATTATTTATTTTGGTTTTGGTTTTTCAAGACAGTTTCTCTGTGTAACAGCTCTGGCTGTCCTGGAACTTACTGTCTAGATCAGGCTTGCCTGAAACACAGAGATCTGCCTGCCTCTGCCTCTGGAGTGAAGATGTGTGCCACCAACTGCTGTCATTCCTTTTATTCTTTGAACAGTTTCTTTTTAGTATGGCAAATACTTCCTGTTATATTTTGAAATGTTCTAGTTGGAGGGGAAGAGGGAGGGGAAAGTTATGGCGCCATTAGGCACACTGTCTGAATTCTGTCTTCATCTCTGATACCAGCCGTGCAGCTATGGGCAAAGGAAATTACAGCCCCCCTTATTTTCACTCTAGGAAAAGGGGAGAGAGACAGTGTGTGCCTAATATAGTCCTGTGTTGAGGAATAAGACTTTAGAGCTTACAGTGCCTGTTACTCGATGTTCAATTTACACAGGAAGTACGTTGAAGTATAACGAATATCTTATAAAAAGAAAAGTATGTGAATTAAAGCACACACTCACACACACACACATACATATTTGGTAAAGTTACCAAATTTTATATATTCCATATTGTTTGGTATGTATGTAATCTTCATAACACACTGTTGCCTATACAATGCTGATTAAATCATGGAGACAAGCTATTATTTTTAAAAAATCTGTAGGCTAAGGTGAGTTTTTAAAACATAATTAATAATACTAGAAACTTTGTAGTTTGAATCTTGGGTTTAGAAAGGCTGTGGTGTTGAAAATCCTTTCTGTATCAACCTCCACCCCTTTTCTCTAAGGAAGATAAATGATCAGAATTTGGCATTTTGTCCTACTTGCAAGCTAAGAACAAGCTGGGCAGTTTTCATACAAGTTGGCAGAGACACGGGATGCCTGGGTCAGAAACAAAGGACTTCATTACTGAAAGTACAATAGGGGCCTGGACAGAGCTCCCTTGAGCCTGTGGGAGCTTCCCAGAGAGTGCTCAGTTACGTAAGCAATGGGCTTGCTATCACACTGGAGGAAGTAGGTGGTTAGGTTGTATCTTTAAAGGGCTTTTAGCAAATTCCTCCCAGTTTTATCGGGAGTGGGAGGTGGGGGGGGTAGGAATGGAGGTGGGGGAGGAGGTGGGTACTATCTTTGAAAGTAAACATCTAGAAATCAACATACCTGTGGAGATCTGACTCCCAACATAAAGAAAGGCAACACACTGCTTGATAAAAAAAGAAGGTACAGAGGGATTCTGATCTTAAATCTGAGTTAGCGTTGTAACTACAAACAGCCCTTCCGAGGCACTTTGAATATGCAGTTTGTCAATTAGAATAAAACGGGGCACGAATTTCTTTTGCCAACAGTTTATCAGCGGGTACCCAGTGAGTCACACTCTCTCATTCATTTTATCAAGCAGGTTTTCATTCAACTTCTCTTTTTAATATATCCCAGTATTAGCTACAAACACAGCCACTGCTGCAGAAACTGGCGCTTTCTCAACAGGAGGCTGGATATTAGCAACTTGCTTCGCCTCTTCTGATAAAATAGTTTCACAAGGTCCAGAATGTTCTTCGGCCTTAGTACAGCAGAGCAATTATTAAATTACTCAGCTCTTCAAGGCTGATTTCATCTGTTAATACTTAAACATTTTTTGATGGTTTTATTTATTTTTTAAACTTAGGGCTTTCCTTTTTCAGAAAGAAATCGAAATGGTATAAACTCCGTCCTTTTGTTTGTAAGCTAATTCTAACAGCTACACTGTTCTTCTGAGTTCTAAACTTGGAGACAAGAAATTCATGAGTTTCAGAGAAAACCAGGTTGGTCGTTGCTTTTTGTCAAATGATCCAAAAACCAAGATGGACTCTTGATGTTTATAATCAGGCAGCACGTCTTGTCTTAAGAGATTGCTCAAAAGTTGAATCACCAGTCAACAAATAGTGTCAGACCCTAGGCATAGTAAGTATGTAAACAGTTTCTAAAAGAAAGGAAGGAAAGAAGGAAGGAAGGGAGGGAGGGAGGGAGGGAGGGAGGGAGGGAAAAGAGAAAAATAGAACTGTATGTGGTATTTGGAACATACACGATTTTTAAAATCTGTTCAGAAATCAAATTCAACTAGATATCCTGTATTTTTATTTGCTTCTTCTGGCAACTACGGCCACCGCTAGGAAATTATACATAACCTTTCTCACATTAGGCATCAAATGAGGCATCACTATGGTCATGGTTTCAAAGTTTTGATGCTGCATCCACGCTCTATGGAAGTGTGTAACTGCAGTTTCAATTCTCTGGTCAAAAGAATGTACGTATAGGTGAAGTCATTGACTGGTCGGCTCTGGGTTTCTACAGAGGAAAGAAACTCTAGGAGTTGATGGTCTAGAGAAGCTTTCCACAGACGGGGAAATGATTGTGAAGGAGGTTTCTGGTAAGAACTTGTAAGAGCCAGTTAGAGAGATAAACCGTAATCCATGAGACAGACCGCAGCCAATCACAGGCGAGGCGGGCGGGGCTTGACTCCCGGCAGGGGCGGGGTCGAGTTCAGGGGCGGGGCTCCAGAGGCGTAGCCGGCTCCCGGGAGCCGAGGCGCGCGACACAGCGTCCAGACCTCCGGCACCTGTCGCACACCTGTGGCCTTCCTCGCAGCAGCGCTGACGTTGACTTACCGGCGACTCGTGACTTTTGATCCGCTGGCCATGGCCTACCCGGGGTACGGAGGAGCGGTAAGTCCTCGCGAGCCGTGGCGACCCTGCGGGCCGCGTCGCGGTGCGGAGGTCACCCTCAGGGCCGGACAGTGCCCGCTCTCTGGTACCAGGCGACGCCGGGACTCTGCGTGGTGCTGAGAAGCTGGGGCTGGGCGGTGCCCTGCGCCCCTGGGAGAACTGCTAGCTGGAGTCTGATCCAGAGCATCGGGATCGTCCTTGTACAGCCTGTGATGCGAAGTGTGTGTGATTTGTAAATTTTGTTTTCAGAACGGAGGGACCAAATACCACGTCTTGTTCCAGTGACCTTTTGTGATTTACCCCCAACCCAGGCAGTTTTTCTAGCGATTCTCATCCCGGGTTGAGTTTTTTATAATTGCTTTTTATAACCACGTCTTGCTTTTTAAGTTGCTGGTGACTAAATTGAGACGTACTTTCTCAGTGCTTCTTAAACTTTGCTGTAGCAACAAGCATCATCTGATTTTCCAGGCTTGCTTTTGGAGGGAGCCGGGTTAATTCCTCTCACGTAGCTTTATGCTCAGTACCTCTGAGACCTACGTGTAGCTATCGCAACACGTGAGTAGCTCTTTCCTCTTTTGAAGGAAGCCAAACTTTGACTCCGCCCATCAGTGACCTGCAGAGTAAGGCCCGCTATCAAATGGGGCTGGGCAGTGGTCCCTGCAGTGGTACAGAAGAAAGCATATTTTCTATGACTATTCCTATTTGTTTTTCCCTAAAAAAGAGAAGTTAATGTTTTGTTACAGCTAAATAGGAGTTGACATTGGCATGGGATTATGGTCCTCAGACAATTTCTACCCCTGAGAGTGATGATTATTTTTAAAAGTAAGTCTTAGTTCCAAGCCCTCAGCTTCAACACACACATTACCAAAACTGATTTGCTTGAACTCCATGAACTTTTCAATACGTATTCCCTGTTAGTTCTTTAAATGTACTGAGAATATCTTTAAGGTAATATTTTTCAGTCCACACCTTCATACTTGTTTGATTTAACAAAATAGAAAAATGTTCGGGACTGGAGAGATGGCTCAGTGGTTAAGAGCACTGGCTGCTCTTCTAGAGGACCTGAGTTCAGTTTTCAGCATCCACGTGGCAGCTCACAACTGTCTGTATGTAACTCCTGTTCGGGGCATCTGACACTTCGTACAAACGTACATGCAGGCCAAACACCAATGTCCATAAAATTAAAAGAAGAAAATGTTCTCTGCTAGATTGTACATCTTTATCTAATAAAGTACGCAATTCATGACGTTAGGAGATGGATTTCTAATAAATTTCCCTTTGTTTAGTGATTATTTATCAAACATAGCCGAGGATGTAGCACAGTTGTTGGCATGCTTTCCTGGCATGCTCAAGGCCCTGGGTTGGATTTCCAGACTACATAAACTGGGCCTGGTAGCCTGACCTGAAATCCCTGCACTTCGGAGGTGGGGACAGGAGTACCAGGACTCCAAGGTCACCCCTGGTCAGAGCCTGTTCTGAACTGCCTGAGAGAGACTTTGTATAAATTAGTATCAAACCCAGCTAGAACAAGCTGAGTCTGGTAGCTCACCTCGTCCTTCTAGCACTTGGAGTCCAAGGCAGAGCTAATGAGACTTTGAGGCTGTGGCTGTAAAGGGTTTCAGCCTATCCTGAAGCACAGCACAGAAACTTGTCCTACTGAAAGTCCCAAGGCCAAAATAAAATAAGAATCGTCAAGTTGCATAGTTTTTTTTATCATATTTTTGTCATATTTTGTATTTCCGTACTAATAAAATTATAACATGACCCAAAGGAATTTTGATACTCATTTTGGTCATAGGAAAGAAGTTACATGCCTATGGTATTATGAGTATGAGAGGAACATCTGTATTTTTTGTAAATTTTAAGCATTAAATACATAGACATGTAGGGAATTCAAATTGTTTTTTCAGAAAAGATACTAGACTACTGCCTCTAAAGTTCTATAGTCTTAATATGTAAGTACACTTGGATATGAAATTTATTTTAAAAACATGTATATGCATAAGCTCTATGAAGAACTATGTAGAAGTTCTATAATAAACAAATTCACTTTTTAAACAATATTTTTAACTGATGAACTACAGAAGAAAGAATATGACTTGATAAAATCTGTGGAACGCCTGTAATATTTTTATAGCACATTCAAGCCCTGTATTTGTCTTCGCCTGCCATTCATTTCTTAGTTGATTCTTATAAATTTGCCAATTATAAACACAGATTTTACCTCAAACCCAGTCCTGAGGTTGAGTGCCAGGAAAAACAAAGGACCAAATTTTTATCTTGACATTATGGTTTTAATTTTTTAGAAGCTGTTTAAAATGCAATGCCCAACAAAATGGGGCAGGGGTACAAAACAAGCAGACAGAATTGTTTGATTATGTGTAATAATCATTCATTATATGAGAAATGTATTTTAGGGTGACATCTAGGATGTAGTTGCTCTGTGGGTTTCCTCAATAATTAAAGTGACTTAAACCAACACTACCAAAAGTAAGAGTACTACATGAGGAGGCACACATTTACACTTTTGCTGATCTTAAAAGCAGAAGGAAAAATAAAATTGTATCAAAGAGTATGTGCACATCTTACATAGTTTCCATGAAACTACCAGTGGCATCTGCGCAATGCGTCTGTCTCTTTTCCTAACTGCATGACTCTCTGCCCACAAAAGGAAGATGATATTAAAACAATGGTACTGGCCGGGTGGTGGTGGCACGCGCCTTTAATCCCAGCACTCGGGAGGCACAGGCAGATGGGTCTCTCTGTGAGTTTGAGCCCAGCCTAGTCCACAGACTGAACACCAGGACAGCCAGGGCTATACAAAGAAACCCTGTCTTGATAAACAAAAAGTAATTGTGCCAAACTGAACTATTTGAGTCTGGGTGCCCCACATTTGGGGAAAAATATACGTAGTTCAGGAGCAGAAACTCTAGAATAGAAAGCAGCAAAGGCCAGTCAAAATATAAAACCATAGTACACGGTTACATAACTTTGAGACATACATAGACTGCAGTCGTTAAAGAAAGGCATCCATCTGATTCTACAAGGGAGAAGTTTTTAAAGTTACCCACTGTGGTTTATGACACACACACACACACACACACACACACACACACACTCATAGATACATGTATAGAATGTGTGTTTACTCTAATTAATTTATTTGTCAATTTTCCCAGTTAAATTTTTGTGGATCTCCAACTTCCAGGAAAGAAAAACAAAAATGTCCTCTTCCCTGAAAGTTTCCACTCCCCCAAAGTTAAAATATACTTATACCAGGAAAGATTTCAATGCCTTTCACTCAAAGACTCATTTCAGAAATCTTGTTTCACAATCCATCCCTTAAATAAAATTACTGGAATTTTTCATTTTTGAGTGTATATTTTCAGTTTGCCAATTGTTTCAAGAAGCAAGTATTTTTTTAATATTTAAACTAACTGCCGCAGAATATTTAACAGAAAATATAAACTCTAGCTCCGACTGATTAAACAGAAAATCAAAACATGAAAAAATTCAGACATTTACTCCAACTGTAAATTCTATGTAAAATGTAAATTTCAGATTTCAAAATAAGGAAAGATTCCACTTATTCTATTATAAAGATCTGACAGTTGATAAGGGGAATGTGTATATGAATAGTTGCAATAAAAATGTTAACCTGTTTTTCAAAGAAAAACGTATCTAACTATACTTCTTTGTCCCTTGAATTTAATAACTTTATAATTTTCTGGCAACATTTTAAACAGACTGGAATATCAAATTGTACAACAGGAAAATGTCCATCAAAATGTAGCCAAGAAAAATTGTATAAGCCTTTTTCTAATAGTTAAGAAATATATAAATGGCTATGATTCCTCTATTTATAGAAACAACTAATACAGTCTTTATAAATCTGCCATGTATAAATGCCTGCACAAATAGAAACATTAATCAGAGTCTGTTTTTGAACCGTGTGTGGGGCCAGCAGTTTGTATCAGACCATGGCTTAATATGGACCCGCATGTTTAAGAATGAAGGAAGGTCCTCCAGCAACAATTTGTGGGGGAAGGTGACTAAGTGATAATAGTACTTAGGATTGAAAGCTTGCTGCAGAGAACCAGCTCAAAGATAAGGCTGTGCAGGTTTGGGTTGCTGTTCAAACACAGTTCCAGCTTCTCTGGAATACCAATTTCTTCAGTTGGTATTCCAGAGAAGCTTTCAAAGGACAAGATGTTAGAGATTAGAACCAGCTCAAGATGTTAGAGATTAGAACCAGCTCAAAGATAAGGCTGTGCAGGTTTGGGTTGCTGTTCAAACACAGTTCCAGCTTCTCTGGAATACCAATTTCTTCAATTGGTATTCCAGAGAAGCTTTCAAAGGACAAGATGTTAGAGATTGGTAAGGTGTCCAGTGCTGCTGGGAAGAGTGGTCCATTGGTTTTTTTTTCTTTTTGTTGTTGTTTTTTGTTCACTTTTTGGCAAAAACTTTTTTTAAAATTTTTTTGAGATAAGCTGTTTCGTTGTGCAAGGATTCCGATTTGTTCTCTAGATCCAATTCTCTTAACTTCCTAAGGTTTCCAAGATTGTGAGGCAGCATCCTTGCAAAACTATTTAATCATAGTAGAACCTCAAAAGAAACAAACAAACAAACAAAAAACCAAAAAGAACAACAACAAAACCCAAATCCAGACACATCCACTGGAACCTTGGTAAGCTAGCTAGTGCTTAAAGTCTATTCTAACGTACTGGCCTAAGTTCCAAATCTAAAAGAAGTGCTGCCAGCTGATTGTCATTCATAATCAGCTCAATTAATTTACACTTTAGCTCTGGAGAGAATTCCAAAATAAGATCTTGTTGATTTGACTGTGTTTCATGTTGAGGGAATGAACTGTGGAAAACTGAGATGGACCATCCACGGGATATAATTGGAAGTGATTTCTAGCTAAGGTCCAGCTATTCAGTTTTACGAGACTGCATAAAAGACTCTCGGGTGTAGTGTAGAAGTTACTGTTTTCTAATTTTAAATCCTCTAATTTATGGCATTTGACTGATGGATGATCTGGGTATTCCCGACGATCTCAGGCCAAGAGGGTTTAAATAGGTCAGCTTTTCTGTTGTGTGTGAGAGGTCTGCTCGTTCTTTGTGCTGCAAGGCGAGGTTGGTTATCTGGATATAGTTTCCAGTCTCCTTTGGAAAGCGTTCATGTTGATTATGATACATGCAGCATGACGGGGTTACAGCGCTTGCCAATTTCAACAGTTAGTTTAGGATGTTGTTCTCTTGAGTACTAGATGGATGAGTTCAGGCAGATTTTTGATATCCTTTCCACAAAGATATAGTGTGTTGAGCGAGTTTGACTTAGACACTGTTGAGAGAATTCCCCTCAGTTTCTTATGCTGTAAACCAAGCATCCGCAAACATTCTCCAAGTTACCAAGAATCAGGCAAACTGATCAGTGAACTTCCACGGAGAGCCAGTGTAGGAGATTTGCTAAACATCCCTTCCCTGCTGGGAGAGTCTGTATTTGTTCGTGTATGAATAAATTCTGTAAATTGACTCAACTCTTTGATTGATGGTAGTGGCATATGTATAGGCCTCTTGAATAAGTTCAAGCACATGAGTTTCCTCCTGCCATTAATAAGGTCCTTAATGACTGGATTTTTTCCCCCCAGTCCTAGGTTCTGGATTCGGTTATTTGATGGTATTGTCAACTGGAAAATTTACACCCAATTGGACAGCACTGGAACACTCCTTGCCACCTCTGGCATCTCCTTTTGCTTTTAAGTTTTTTTTTTTTCTTTCCTTTCTTCCCCAAAACCTCTAAATGTTTTTTTTTTTCCCCTCTCTTTCTCTTTCCTTGGTGGATTGTACTTGGGGATCTCTCTGTAGAGTGGTTTTCTTTGCCTAAGCTATCTTTCACACATGGTGACTCAGGCTTAGACAAATACTACATGAACTTGGTTTATTTGCCAGTGTTGGGAGGGCTGGAGAGAATCGCTCCCAGGTTAAGAGCAGTGGCCGCTCTTTCAGAGGGATTAAGATTTGATTCCCAGCACCTACAAGGCAGTTTACAACTCTCTGTAACACCAGTTCCAGAGGATCCAGTGCCCTCTTCTGGCCTCTTTAGGCACCGCACATGTAGAACCTGCACACATGCAGGCAAAAACACGCATAGACATAAAATCAAAATAAGTTAATTTTTAAAAGTGTTGACATAAGGGACTAATGAGTTTGAAGCCACACCCATCTGTTATTTGTTGGGTCTAAAAGCACTGTGGCCAATTCTGATGATTCATTCCACCTGGTAAGTAGAGCTGGGGCTCAGGGCTTCATGATCCCCCTTCCCAAGTGCATTCCCTACAGTCCTGGCGCGTCCTTCATGCCTTAGATTTTACCGCAGCCCAGAGGTGCCTGAACATTCTATAGCAGGTTCCAAAGTCAGCCTCTGTTCCTCCTCATTCTTGTAATTTTTTCCTCTCTCTGCCATCTGGCAGTCTCTGCTTGTGCTGCAAAGATGCAGGGCAAGACAGTTTGTTCAAAATTGAATAACAAACAGCCCTGATGTGTCTTCCTTCTCTGGACTCATACAAATGCAAAGTAAAGTGCTTTCCTACGGCATTCATAGCTGTACCAAGTGAAAAGGGAGACTCCATAGGCGTAATAAGACACACAGCCGTGGATGGCTTCAGTGGTCACACTGAGTTTGAGTACCTGGCCCTTCGGGAATTCTTGAAGTCTCGGATCCTCAAAGGCAGAAAGAACAAACTACTTCCATATCTCACAGTATGGTAGATTTTCATGCTGGCTTGGAATAGGACTTTGATTGGAATCATCGTGTTATTTTCTTCTGGTCACCATACATTTTTGAAAAAAAAAATACATCTCTTACAGTGGAGAGTGCTTCAGCTCTGTGATTTCCCATGCTTAGGTCATAGTTTGGCTATACTTATCTGATTTTCAACTAAGCATACACCTAGAAATGTATTTCTTAGTTTACTATAGGTGAAACCCTATGTTTTACTCTGTTTATATTTGCTTTTAGTTTTGCTTAAAGTCATACACATTCTTCTTTTAAAGCTTTGGTTCTCAACCTGTGGGTCCTGTCTCCTTTGGGGGTCAAACCACCCTTTCATGGCGGTGGCTTAAGGCAACCAGAAAACACAGATAGAACATAGACATTTACATTATGAATCACAACAATAGCAAGGTTACAGTTATGAGGTAGCAATGGAATAATTTTATGGTTGGGGTCACCACAACATGAGGAACTGTATTAAAGAGTCACACAGCATTAAGGTTGAGAACCACTGTTCTAAAGGTTCTTAGAGAATAGGGGATAGGAAGAAGGCTCAGTGGTTAAGAGCACATAGTACTCATACAAAGACCAAGCTCAGTTCCCCATACCCACGTCAGGCAATTTATAACTACTGCTCCAGGTGATCAAACATTCTCTTCTGTCTTCTGTGGGTACCTGCTCACACGCACAGCCCTTATAGACGTTAGAGGCATGAAACATCGTTTAGACTTCTTTTACTGTTGTTACGTGAGTAACGTGCTGATGAGCTGTTTTAATAAAGACCTTCTAGCATCTTGTGGTTGAAACTTTAGTGACGATATGTTTGGAAAATTTGGCCACTAGATTTCTTTGGTTTTAGTTGATTTCTAATAAATAATTTCTTTTAACTTAAGTTTTATAGCTCAGCTTTTTATTAACATCCTCATCTTTTCCCTCAACAGTTTGGAAACTTCGGCGGTCAGATCCCTGGGATGCAGCTGCAAATGGGCCATCCGATGCCAGGTCCCAATGTGTTCGCTGGTGGTTACCCGGGGTACGTGGCCTACTCTGACAGCTACCCCCCTGCTGATGACTCTATGTGGTCTTTCTTCACAGCTGTTGCTGGACAGGTGAGGTGATAAATCTTTTACCAAATACTAGTCAATAAATGATTTCTGTTTCAGAGACGTGCCAACTGCTCCTACTTAGTGTATCATTAAAATGTCTAGAAAGCTCATGTCTTAAACTCAGGTAGAATAATACTGTTCTTGAGATCAAAGATGAGAGTAGCCATAATTGCTTCATTTTTTTAACTTTATTGACTTTGCTCTTGATAGTTTCACGCGTGAATGATGTGTGTTCATATCGTATTACTCACAGGTACAATATTTTCAACTTTGGCATCAGTTCCATTAAATGTAAATAACGTGTATCTCAGTTAAAACATACGTATGGCAAGGGATGTGATCGGAGATCAGTGCCACTGTCCTGCATCTATTCCAACTGAGAAATTGCATGTGTCCTCACAGATGCCGTTATATCATTTTTGGTGATGTATGGTTTAAGTTGATGGCACGTTTTCTAGAAAGATTATCAAAATTATCATGTTGAGGCTTCTTCAATTTTTTAATACAAAAAATGAAAGCAAATGTTTTCTTAATGGCATGCTATACTGTTAGCTGTTAGCTTCTAATAAATTTGAGTACGTATTGCAACCCGGCTTTATTATGACAGCAGAGGGGTTTCTGGCCTGCCGATTCAGGTCGATGACTTCCGTCCAAGCTGCTCTAACAGTATGTGACTGCAGTCTTTGGGAAGCGTTGCTGCTGCTCTCACTGCTAATGTACTTCACACTGCTAATGTAAGTCACACAGTTTGTTCTTTGTAAGTGCTTTTTTGCACAACCTCCTGTAGAATTTGAAGTGAAATTAAAAACGCATGCCTCAGCTGCGATTTGAACGTGAGTACCCTCACAGGCTCATGCGTTTGTACAATTGGTCTGCAGCTAATGGTGCTGCTTTGAAGGTTGCTGGGATGGAGATATAGGGCCACCGGCGTGGGGCTTCAAAGGTCTACTGCCAAAGCTTTCTGCTTCCTGATTTGTTAGGATATAACAAGCCATATGAAAACCTCCTCTTCCATAGATGCAGCCCAAGTCACCATACCTTCCTGACCATGATGGACCCTGTCCATTTAAACTGGGAATGAAAGCAAAGCCTCTTGTATTTTTAAGTAGTATTGTGGCACAGAACTGAAGTAATCCACACAGTATTAACCTTACTTGTATTGGTTTTGACTGCATGTGGTATGAAAGAGAAGCTGAATAAATATTTAGAATTAGAGAATTTACAATTGTGATTTTATGCATATTAAAAGATGGACCTATATAGATTGTGCATAAATCACAAGTGTATTTTATGTATGGATACATGCATGTATTTATGATCACCTTTATATTGCATAAATACATGTCTTTGTTTCCATCCATGTTTCCTGACTCATAAATCGGTGGCCTAGTCAGACAGAGAAGTTACAATTTCTATTCTGTCAGGCAGATTATAGAAACCCAGTCTTGTCTTCATATTGCTATAAAGAAATTTTCTACCGTACTTTGTATGGTGATTTGTCATAAGACCCACCGTTCTTCCATGTGCTGTGGATGCAGCAAATACGTGAGCTCAGAGAAACACATCTCTAAACGGAGATGCAAAATATTAAGAGATGCCTGTTTCTTTCAAATATCATATTCCCAAATTTTTATTTTTCCTTTTATCTTCTTTTGGCCTTTGCCAAAAATGAATCAAATGTTTTCTGGTAGACTTGCATTACAATATGAAACATACTATAATAATTTATTTTGTATGGTTAAGTAGACCTTAAAAATTATAAAGTCACAGTTATGCCTTACTTGATGATAGTATTGTGCTCTGGAAAATTAGGCAGAAGTAAGCAGAGGATGAGACCAGATGCCCACACTCACCTTTAAGTGACCAAGGACCTTACTATAGGTCCTACCTTCTCTATTTCCATCTGCCTGGGGACCAAGGCTTTAGCAATTCATCTCTGGTAGACATTCACTGCAAACACAGTACATACTAGGTGATAGTACTCTTTCAGCTCCATTGTCATGTTATGGGCCTCCACCTTACATGAGGTCCATTCCTGACTGAACTGTGTTATGGCAAAGGACTACATAATTTAATAGTATGGTTCTTCTAAAAATAATAAGCATTTAAAATAAATAAAAGAAATCTAAAGCCCAATTCTTGGATTCAGGATATGGCAAAGATAGTTGTGTGGCTAGTTTTATGTCAGGTTGTCACAAGCTAGACTTATTTGATAGGAAAGAACTTCAAATGTGTGGGATTCCCCTCTCTATGCTGTGAATACCATTGGTGTAAGGAATCTGCCTTGGCCTGTTGATAGGGCAGGCTAGAGCTAGGTGGGGAAAACTAAACTGAATGCTGGGAAAAAGGAGGCTGAGTAATAGAGAAACCATGTAGCCCTGCCAGAGATAGATGCTGGAACTTTATCCAGTAAGCCAACAGCCTCATGGTGATATACAAATTAATGGAGATGGGTTAAATTAATATGTAAGAGTTAGCCAATAAGAAGCTAGAGCTAATGGGCCAAACAGTAATTTAATTAATACAATTTCTGTGTGGTTATTTTGTGGCTGAGCTGTCAGACTGCCAGGAGCAAACAAGTAGCCTCCTACAACACAAATGCCTCCATAAGATCTGGCTGGAGAGCATTTTCTTCATCATTCATTGATAGGGACGCCTATGGTGGGTGGTGCCATCCTTGGGCTGGTGGGTCTGGGTTTTATAAGAAAGCAGGTTGTGTAAGAAGTGAAGAGGAAGTCAGTAAGCAGCACAGTGCTCACCATGGCCAATACATCAGCCCGTACTTCCAGGTTGCTGCCTTGTTTGAGTTCTTGTTCTGAGTTCCTTTGATGATGAACAGTGAAATGGAAGTGTAAGCCAAATAAACCATTTTTTCCCCTAAGTTGCTCTCGTCATGGTGTTTCATCACAGACATAGTAATAGTACCCCTAACTAAGACAATGCTGATAGTAGTGGTATTTCATATTCCAATTCAGTAGAAGAGAGGGGAAGAGGGAGTGAGAGAAAGAGATAGAGGGAGGGATGGAGAGAGAGAGTTGTATGTGAACCCACGGTCTTAATGTATATTAGACAGGCAAACATTTTTTGCTGTATGTTCATATATTCAATTATTATTGGGGTGAAGAATTTATGATTATGTCTATAGAATATAATAGGATGGTGCATCAAGACTATAGGGTAGAATCTCAAGTAGAAAACTACGTCTAAATTGGGGCAGGCTATCAGATGGTGACTTGTAAATTGCAGTTGTTGGAGAGGGTTGATGATGGAAGGGATTAGCGATATGAAAGAGAACCGTGCCCTGAAAATCCGCTTGTTGGACTGAAGACAAGGAGAAATTCTCCCTTGGTGCTAGCTCCGGTCTGTAACCATCCTATCTTTAATAGCAGTGGAGAATGAACTGAAGTAGGTAGCATTTCATAGAGCACCACCAGCATCTTACATTCTGTGCTTCACTTGAGTGCCCTTTAGGTCCCATTGCTTTTCTAAGAACAGAGGCTTTGTACAGATTTACTACACGTGGACAACTTCCCTTTCAGTCTGTACTAGAAGCTGGAAACTCAGGGCTACAGAAAATATCCATTTGCTGTGAGATAAAAACAGCCATGCGGATAGAATTTCTTTGGAATGCTTTTCCAAATAAAGCCTTGCTGGGGGACTGGCAAGATCAAAAAGTCCCTGATGACCTGAGTTCAAACCCTGGGACCCACATGGGAGGAGAGAGGGCAGACTCCCTTCCAAAAGTTGTCTTCTGTCATTCATGTATGCTCCATACACCATTACAAAATACAAAATTGAAACATGACAATACTTTTTAAAGACCTTGTTAGAAGACAGCCTTGGCTATTTTTGGCTCATTATTCCTACCTGGAAAGGAAACGGGATTTGAAGGTAGAGCGGCCATCTGTGGCTTGGGCACAATACACTTGAGATAGACTTTTGGGTGGAGAATGTGAGGAATGCAGAGGTTGATGGTACAGTTAAGTCGCCACATAACCTTGCACTCAGCCCTAGATTTCCTTTATGAAACAATGAACTTGTATTGTCATTGCTTTATTTTTTAAATTTACTTTTTTTAAAACAGGGTCTCACTGGTGGTCTTGAACTCAGAGAGCTAGACTTGCATTTAGCTTAAGTATTTCGTAAGAGAATTAAATACACCCTTTCTCTCATTAACACATTTCTTAGTTGCCATAGAAGGTCACCTAATGTAAACTTCTGGTGTAACCTTTAGTTGTTGCTGTATTTTTAAGTCATTTGTCTTGAATGCACAACTTAAAAGCATTTTTTTTTAAACTAGTAATAAAAACAAATGAAGCCTTAATTTTTTTTAATTAAAGTGGCTTAAGAACAGTGTGATGAGCAAAAGTTCATTTTTCTCAGCTTTTAAGACAGGGTCTGACCCTGTGCTTACACTCAGCTCTCTCTCATTTGCCTCACTTCCTTGCTGACTCTGCTTACATGTACAGAGCCTGTTCAGCCTGTCTGATGACTTTATGTTTGTAAAACAGTAAAATATAGACCGATTAATTTGTCATGGTTAAATTTGCATGTCTTAAGGAATTGGGTGGAAAAATGTAAATTTGAAAGACAGGATTGTGTACGTAAAGGGCTTTTCTTCTATTTCTCCAAAAGCTTCGTAAGATGAAGAATCTACATCTGCTCCTGTTGTCATCAAGGTGCAGGAGATTGCTTGCAGTCCCAGCTGCCCAGCAGGCTGGCCTAGGATGACCAGCATGCCCAGGAATTTGAGCCTAGCCTGGGCAGCATAAGAAGAAGATCCCCATCTCAAAGTGAAGTAAAACTTACAGCAAATAAAATGTCAAATGTGTTGACGAAGTTAACAGACAAGATTTCTGAGTTTTCAATGGGTGAAGCCGTAGCTTTTCATAGGCAGGGTACATGTTTCTAATTCTAAAGCACAGACTCCTTTTGGTACACACTGTATCTATGCAGAGCAGTAGTGAAGAAAGCAGGGGCCATTGTGCATAGAATGAACAGTTTAACTGTGCTGTGTGGTAGACTAAGTTCAGGCTTATTTAATCAGACCTGTTTCTTAATGTTCACTCCACCGAGCAGGTAAGACCCTCACACACGTGTTATGTTCTTTAGCTGAAATTCACAATACTTTTTTCTAGGTTTCTTTTTCAACCAGGTTTGCTACTAAAGTAACTCCATGCCCTACAAAGTTTGTCTTCTCTGTTTAGAAGCATGAGCAATATGTAATTGTATTACATAGTTACTATTTAATAACCTCCTCTGTGGGGGTAGGTGTACTTGTGTGCGAAAGTTGCAAGAGGGGATGGTGCTGGGACAGAAAACATCCGACTGCATAGGATTTATTTCTTATGATTTTAATTACAGTGGGGAAAATTTTCCATATATTCACATTTTTTTTTCTGGACGGTTTTAAAGCTGTGTTTCCTGTTCACTGAATTCTGTGTGTCCTTGTGCTGCCTGAATATTGCACGCTGATTTGTTAGTGGGAAGAATGGTATTTTCCCACTTACGAGTTAAAGAGAAAAACAATTATAATTGTTATTGTCAGTGTGTGTGAGGACAGCCTTTAAAAAATCCAAAGGAGGGGAAAAGGCTACAAAAAATTCTTTGGTGTGCAGTAGTTGACCACACCTGGTGTTTGGACTTTCAAGACCCTGTCCTGACTGTAGAGCTGTCAGATTTGGGTATAGAGGCTTTTTGTTGGGAGCACAGCAAGAAGGTTGTTGAGCCCACAGATCTCCAGAGAAATCAGGAATGCTATGCACACAGGATTATCTTTTCCAGTGGGAAAGATGAAAAACCTGTTCTTCCATCCAGAAAGCTGAGATTTGAAAGTGATTAACAGCCTGTTGGTTTAGGCCATATAGAGCTCTTACAACCAAGACCAGAGTGGCTAGTAATCTAAATGACCCTTATAGCCAGAGGCTTCCTGAAGCTCCCACAACTAGAGCCAGAGGCAGCTAAGAGTCCAAATGACCAAGACCAGGCCAGGCCCTTAGGTCCTTAAGTCAATGCAGGTAGCCTATCTCTAGAACCCATCTTGGAAGAAATGAAATGACAGGTACCCTCAGCTCAGCTGAGTTTCTATGTAATTACGCTTCCTTGTGCAAGAGGGATTGTATTACACTGAGATATATATTACCAAATTATACTGGGCTTCAGTACATTGGGAATAAACCACCTGTTATTGAACTACCCAAACTATGATCCAGATTGACAAAGTTAATCTGCACCGGGTTTTTATTCTTATCTTTTTGTGGGTTTACCTCTCTGCCTGACACCTGCAGGGACCCCCTCAGTTCTTACTTCTTATTTCTGTTTGCAATGCATCAAGCAGCTATTCATAATTTATGTTTCTTGAAACATAATATTGGCTTGGAATGGTTTCTTCAGGATAGACAGTTATTGGTAGTGTTTACCTGAGCGGAATGTGACAGAAAGACCTTCTGATGTCCATGTTATTGGAGAAATACTTTTTTTTAAGGAAGCCTCACTCTTAAAAATATGCCAGTTTGTCTTCAACCATAGTTTTAAGGATAATTATGGAATTTTTAATTTGGCAAGCACCCTCCAGGTACAGCAATGGGGCTGTGAAAGGAGCATCGAGAAGCTCTCAGGCAAGGATAACCATGAGTAAAATAACTAAGCATTTTTGCATTGTTTTGACCATGAGAAGACAAGAGCGTTGTTCTGCATCTAAGACGCAGGGAATAGGTTCACCAGGTTACAGGGTCCGTGGTGTGCCTTGGCTGGCAATATTTACCTTGTGAATTTTGTGGTTTATACCATTTTGAAAATTAGTATTTCTTAATGGCCTTAGAGCAGCATCCAGTGAAGCTTTTGATGTCCTTTGGTACCACTATACATTAAAACCCACATTGATGTGTTAATTTTTTTTTTGCAGGATGGTGAGGTGGATGCGGAGGAGCTTCAGAGATGCTTGACCCAGTCTGGAATCAGTGGGACTTACGCACGTGAGACCATGCATTGTTTTGTCTTCTCTTCCCCATCGCACAGGGGAAATTGAAATCCATTCCCAGCATTTTAGTCCCACACCTAAAATCATAAATATTATAAACTCTCCATTGATATACTAAGTTTGAAGGATCAGATCATTCTTCTGTACACGGTATCATGGAAACAACTGTTCATGCACATTCCTGGCATTAACTACTCAGGAGAGACTTTGTTTAAATGGTCGAAAGTAGCTATTTTCAAAATTTCCTTCTAGACCTTCATTTTACTACTATGCAGTGGCAGCCTTGTGATTATCAATCATGATGTCCTGCGGTGAAAAATGAGTATTTTACTGTCTTCCGACCTTAAAACCACTCCACCCCTCCACGTGAAAACTTTGCACCATTTACCCTGCTGACAGATTATAATACTATGGGGACCGTTGTCAGCACTTACCTATCTCTATTGTCTACACATTGCTTATAGCTTTGTCTTGTTTCTTTTTTGTGTAGCCTTTTGTTTTTCCCAGAATTCTCAGTGGTTAGTGGATGGAGGGGTCCAGTAAAAAAACTGCTGAAATGGCTGCTCCATTAAGAGAAGATTTTTATTGTGGATAAGAGAGAGAAAATATCCAGAGCAGAGAGGAAAAAAAAAAAAGACACTGATCATGGTCCTGGGCTGTTTGTGAGGGATGGAAGAATAGCAGGGAATAGAAAGAGTAGAAAAAATACAGAATAGGGGGTGGGGTGATGGGGGCTGGGAGCCTGGGGGTGGTAATGGAGATATTAGAATTTGGGGGGGGGGCAGAAGGAAAAAATTTGTCCTTATATGGAGAACTGATGGGTATCTGGGAAGAGAGAAGCCTGGGGAGGTGAGAAGGGCCCCGGAAAGCTACAGCAGGTAGTTGTGAATAGTCAGGGTAGGTGCTCTGATAGGCAACCACGGGACTATGTCCATGGAGAGCCGGCCATATGTCCCTTCTACAAGAGGCAAGGGAAGAAACTCTGTTTGGCCCATGGGAGCATGTTTCAGAAGTTCCTGAAGCATGGCTGGTTTTTATTTAAAGGTCAGAAATCCTTCTATAGTCCAACTTCAGCTAAACCCAGACTGTCATTTCTGGACATATGCGCTGCCTTTTGGATTTTGGGAAATTGGTGTTTCCTTGGGACCTGGCAGCTCGGTATTGCATCCCTCTGGTTGCCCCAGGGCTTTCTTACAGGCTCTGTGTTTCATGGGTGGGTTTCATTCTTTCACCACCATTCTGCAAGCTCCTTCCGCTCTAGAGCGGCATCTCCTGGTTCTAGTCTTTCTCTGTTGTCTAATGTTTTTAAGCTCAACCTGTTACTGCATTGAGATATCATATTGCATTAACTGGCTTTTTTTTAATGTACAAACTCTATATACTTATGCAACTGAAATTTTTAAATTGTTTTTATTGAGCTATACATTTTCTCTGCTCCCTCCCTTCCTCCCCCTTTCCTTCTCTCCTCTCCTGTGACGCCCCATGCTCCCAATTTACCCAGGAGATCTTAATCTTTTTCTCCTGCCTATGTAGATCCATGTATGTCTCTCTCAGAGTCCTCTTTGTTGGCTAAATTGTCTGGGGTTGTGGACTGTAGGTTGGTTTTTCTTTCTTTGCTTTATGTCCAGAAGCCACTTGTGAGTGAAGTAGCTTTTAATGAAAAGGTACACGGATAACAACCAATTTTTGAGACTTTAAGTGTCTGAAAATGCTTTCATTTTGTCTCAGTCATTTGAATGTCTGCTTGTCAAGGGCTGTTCTCCATTATAGCCCATTCCCGTAAATAATTTAAAAAAATTTCTTCATAGAGCAATAGGTAGCATCCACCACAGTGGCAGGAAAGGGACTGGGAGCTTTAAATGCTCCTGCCAGCTCCTGCCATTGTTTTTCTTGCCATTTTTGCACACTGTTGGAGGGGGCTGCTTGTTCGTTCTGGCCGCCCAGAACTGAAATAATCAACAGAAACCATATTATTTAAACCACTGCTTGAACCATTGGCTAACTCTTACATAATAATTTAACCCACTTCTATTAATCTATGTATCACCACGTGGCTGTGATTTACCAGCTAAAGTTTTTGCGTCCGTCTCTGGCAGGGCTACATGGCTTCTCTCTGACTCTGCTCTTCTTTTTCCCAGTTCCCCTATATATCTCTGCTATAGGGCCAAAGCAGTTCCTTTATTAATCAACGGTAATCACAGCATACAGATCAACACACATTTTCAGAAGGATTTCTAGCCTCAGCTGCCATCTCTTTCTCACCTTCCTGAGATTTGTTTTTCCTTTCCTGAAGCTCAGGGATCATCCTGTCCCTCACAGGTCCCTGTTGCTCTGACATTTCACAGTGTCATGCCTTGTGGCCTTGCATGGGGAACTGTGTGGGTGTATTCAGTCTGGAATCTCTTGTACTTTTTTGCTCTGGGAAATTTTCTTCAGTTGTGTTTCCTGGGGCTGAGTCGTCTGTTCTCCTTTTTAATGAAATGCCCTCCGCCTTCTTTTATAAACCTTCTGTGCCTTTCATTGCTGGTGGTGTGTTTTGTAAGCGCTAAGAGCCTCTGTTCGTTTTCACAAATGTTATGCTTCCTATTATCTCTCTGAAACTATTACTATGTTCTTGCGTGGCCTTTCCTTCCTCAGCAGTATGTTTATTCATCAGCTTATTTGGTCATCTCCCTTGTCATTCCTTGGGTGTCTGATGACACTTGGTTGCTCATGTCTCCCGGAAATGCGGAGTATAAGTAAGTCCTGGACTTGTTGACTGTGGGCTGCTTTGTAAGGTGAAGCTGGGCAGTTGGACTGTGTGGTTCAGGTGTCACTGTCATGGGAGATTTCCTTTGTTCCCTTTGGGCTGCCTTTTCTGTTGTTTCAGGGCTCCCAAGTCTGTGCAAATTTTTAGTTGATCAACTCGTGTTCGGTATAGTTCATTTCATTGTGCCTAGTGTCCTAGAAACTTCTCCAGAAAGCGAAACTCCCGCTGGGTGAGAGGGTAGGTGTGACAGCCATCCAGAGAGAGGCAGAGAGGGACTGGGTCTTCACAAGCTCTTAAAATAGCCCTTCCCTCAGCTCTCTTTTTAGCTCCACCTTCTCACACATGTTCAGAAGCTGCCAAATTCTTAGACATTTGGCATCTTTCCCAAGGTAACTAAGTTGTTTCTCAGCATTTCTCTTTATGCACAAACATTAAATAGCCACTTCCCTTGACTTTCTAACTTGCAAAATATTTTTTTTTCTGTTTTTTCCTTTTCCTCTAAAGGTTTAAGACTTTACCAACCCCCCCCCCAAAAAAAATCTGTTCACTCCAGTGGGTTGTAAGGAGGAAGAAAAATGTGTCATTTTCTGGATAATAGGTCTGTCTCTCCACTTTATAAAAATATTTATTCTTTAAATACCTAGTCCTATCCTGAGATTAGGATATACTTAGTTGTTGATTTAATTTTTAATTTTTGTTTTAATCTGGTTAGATTATCCCACTTCCTGAATGTGAACCAAGTCAAATTGAAAAAAAGATGGCACACTACATAATTTTTTTGATGTAATTTTCTTCAATTTTTAATAGTTTACTCATGGAGGAACATTAGGCCCCAGTTTGGGTGGTTCTATCTACTACCTTCATGAATTCAGAAAACCACTTTTTTTTCTTGGCTCAGATTTCTTTATCTGTAAAATTAGGACTGCTGTACATTTGGCGTGTTTGTGTAAAAGCATGTAACCCACTGTAATGGCTAGTCTTCACCTCAAGCGTGGCTGTGTTTGGGGTCACCTTGGACCCATAGCCTGATGAGTGTATTAGGGCATTTCTGGGAAGACCCACACTGGGTGTAAATGACACACCTCATGGGCTAGAGTCCTAATGAAAGGAGGAAAAGGAGAAAGCATTGATTTCCCTTTGCTTCTGACTGCAGACAGAACGTGACCAGCCACCACTTGCTCCATTCTTTGGGTGTTTTGTACAACAGTGACAAAGGAATGCTCCCACACTTCCTGACCAGCAAGTCCTCACTGAGGGCCTGATGAGTGTCGTTCTTAGCACGCTATAACCAACAACCCTAACACTGACACCACCCTGAACAGCTAAAGAAAATCAGCTCTTGTTCCTAGCAGAATATTTTATGCTTTTTCTTTAGGTATTTTGAAATTTATCTCCTTTAATTGGCTTTAAGGATTTCAAAATGTTATCAAGCAATATAAAATAAAGTGAATCTAAATCATTTTTCACTATTTAATATCAAGGAGATAAAAGAATCCTATAAACTTACCTGAATTTTGCTAACATATTCCTATTTTAGATAAATAAACCCAACTATTTGAATATAATTGTATTAAAGGTTGGAAAGACTGAACGTTTTTTCTAGGGTCTTCATTGTAAATAAATATGGAAATGTCAATGTTTCTAGCAACCCCATTCTTTTCAATTACTCCTTTTATTTATGATATAACTGCATAATTTCCTGTTTCTATTTTCTCCTTTTAAGCCTTCCCATGTTCTCCTCCATGTACTCCTCCTTGCTCTGTCTTTCAAATCAGTCCATACATATATGTATATACATATATATTCTTAGACTCATAAACAAATCCTTCTCAGTCTGGATGGTGTTGCTTGTATGGATGTTTTCAGGGCTGACCTTTTGTACTGTACAATCAACTTACGAGCTCTTCCCATGGAAAGATGCTGCTCCTGCTCTCTGCGTTCATCACTTGCCTGGAGATCACGGCATGAAAATGGGGGAAAGAGACTAGAAGCCAGAGGATCAGCGGGTTTGCTGTGAGAGAGATTGTGTCTCCGAGGAATGGCGGACACGAGCCCCAGAATTTCTTTCCTCACGTGGCTTGTAGTGGTCTTCCTTTCTCCCCTCTTAAGAGAAGACAGCTGTCTCAGCTCAGCGGCTCATGCTTCCCCACCAGACCTCTTACTAAGCCCTCACGTGATTCACCTGTACCCTGATCTCTTTTCACCTTGAGTCTTTTGTTGTAAAGCAGAGTTCAGGTTGAGGAAGTGTTCCACTTTCTTTTCTGCTGTATCACCACTGGGAAGTTCATTGGTTTACAGTGTAATATTCAAGAATTTCTTTGTTTGGCCTTCTTTGCCTTCCTGACGTCCTCTTACGTTATTCCCTTACCTGTTCTCTAAGCCCTGCACAGCTTCTGGCTTCTGAGTACATAGCAGATATCCAGGTCAACCTCCCTCTCTCTGTCTCTGGTGGTTTAAAAACTGAAACCAACTTTCTGCCCAGACTCCTGGCAAAGCCAAGTGCCTGTAAAGTGTTCATCATGTTAACTTTACGCTACTCCGTAACTGCTCACCTGGTTACTGACCTCAGTTAGTGTCAGTAGTTTGGAGAGAGTCATTTTAAAATGTATTTTATTGTTATTATTCTAAGTGTTTATCAGCCAATAAATATTTAATATAAATATTTACATTGGCATATAAATATTTTATATTTAAAATAAATATAATATTGTGATTTTTATATTGTTTGCAATTTTTAAAAATTTTTTGAAACTGAAGATTATCCTGATGTTTTGTAGATAAAACTGAGAATAATATAATATTTTAATACTGAATATCTTTTGCAGCCTTCAGTCTGGAAACCTGCAGAATTATGATTGCCATGTTGGATGTATCCTTGAATAAAGATAGAAAATATCTTTATATTATAAATATAGAGTTATTGCTTTTTTAACATTTAAGTCAGTTATTTTAGATCTAACTGTATTTTGTAAGATCCTGCTTAAAGTCTATATAATTACATTTTCACACAGCAATCTATTCATAGACTGGATTCTGCTAGCTAACTATACAAGAATATGTTCTTTTTAGTGATTTGGGGTGTAGAATCAGATAAATTCTCTCGGCTACCAAAACTTATTTTTGTTAATAAAACTGTTAGAGAGATTATACAGGAAAAATGGGGTTCAATGAATTCAAGGAGCTTTGGGCAGCGCTGAATGCCTGGAAGCAGAACTTCATGACTATTGATCAAGACCAGAGTGGCACAGTAGAACACCATGAGCTGAGCCAAGCCATCACTCTTATGGGTAAGAGCGTCCTTTAGAATCCAGAAGAATCATCTTTGCTCATTGATCAAGTTATGAATTTTTTATATTTATAAAAGATGTGTTTATTTTATTTTATGAGCTTGAGTGTTTGCCTGCAAGTCTGTATGTGTACCATGTGTGTGCCTGTTGCTCTAGGAACCCAGAAGAGGGTGTCAGATTCCCTGGAACTGGAGTTGCAGAAGGTTGTGAGCTATCATATGCATGCTCGTAACTGAACCTAGTTCCTCTTGCAAGAGCAGAAAGTGTTCTTAACCACTGACTGATCTTTTCAGTTTACAAACTGTGAATCTGAGTTGTTTAATTTACTAAGTTTCCTGTTAGTGTGTTCCCTAATTTGGGCTCACAGTTGTAAGTAAATTCTGATCCAAGACACTAATACAATCATTATTGTTGTTATTTCTTCACTTTATTGTCGTATTGAAGACTGAACCTCAGTCTTACATGTTTGAGACCAGCACAGTGTCTCTGAACTCCAGTCCTTAAATTTGTCTGAGGTTTCTTCCAAAGGCAATCTTTCATTCATTCTTAATTCCTTGCATCTAATTATCATCCCTAATGTTAGCATCCACCACCTGCATTCCACTAGTTTGTAATTTGGTGGACTCTTTAATTATTCATGAAAGACTTATCTCAGTCAACCACACATGTCTGTATCAGAGTCTAGCTTTTCAACTGAAAGAATAATTTGTTTCATTTTTCTTCTTTGTTCTCACGCAATTTAGAATACACGAGATGCATTTCAGTTTAAAAGGTGTAACTATTTTTATTGTACTTCTTATAGGCTAAGGTTCTTGGTTCACTTGCAAAGAGTGGTTATATATACATACATACATACATATATACTTAATTTGCTAGCATGTAATGCGCTGGTACTTTCCCTCTTTTATCTGCCCCTGTCTGTCTCTCTCTCTCTCTCTCTCTCTCTCTCTCCTCTCTCTCTCTCTCTCTCTCCCTCCCTCCCTCCCTCCCTCCCTCTGTCTCTTTATTGTTTAGGCAGATTATCACTCTGCTCACTCTATAACTCAGCCTCATCTGGAACTCACTATGTATGTAGCCTAGGCCTGCCTCTAATTTACTGAGTTCCTTCTGCCTCCATCTCCTGAGTTGTAAGTGTAGGCCATAATTTATGAAGTTTTGCCTAACTTTAATTAGTTTTCTTCATTTTCTTATCTTATAATTTTGTGTATGTTATTTATAAACAAAATGTATATACATAAAATTATCTCTTTGAAAATTAAAATGTAAGCTCAAGGCACATGGGTTTAAATTATATGCCAAAAAGCTCAAACTAGGGAAGATTTTATTTTATTTTATTTATTTATTTTTTATTTTATTTTATTTTATTTTTATTAAAGATTTCTGTCTCTTCCCCGCCACCGCCGCTAGGGAAGATTTTAAAATTAGTTATATAAATAGGCATTTTGTTTTTGTATCTAGGGAAAATCCTGGCTATATAAATATGTTTAGCTGTAGATCCATAATAATAATCGATTCAACTCAACCTTTTATAGTGTTATTTAAAAAAAAAATTAATGTAGTATTTTTTTCCCCCAAAGTAAAATGGTTCAAAGGGGTCAACCAAGTATCCAAGTGTAAGAAAAGATTTTTCTGAGGCCTGCAAAAGCACCTAGTGCCAAACTGAATGGCCTAAATTTGATTCTCAGGGCCCTTGTGGTGGGAGGAGAGAGCTGACTCCTGCCAAGTTGCCTTCTGACCTACGAACAATTGCTGTGTTGTGTGTGTTCCCTCAAACTGTAATGAAAGATTTAAGTGTTTTCAGACTGTTCCAACTTAACACCTTCAAATACCTTTAGAGTTATTCAAGTTACGGCAACATTTTAGGAATTGTATTCATACCACTTTCACGTGGTCGACTTGTGTGTTTTGGTATGACTCTTACTTTAAGTATGTTTTCTGGGAGATATGTATATATGTGTGTGTGTATGTACATATATGTGTATGATGTATGTACATACAGATATATAATCTCGCATATGTATCTTACATATATGAAATCATATATTATTTTGTATATATGATTTATTTTGTTTTTTGTGGTGGGAATACAACCTAAGGAAGTTCCCTGACCCCAAGCCTTATGGGTTGTATTTTACAATAACTACAGATGGAGTTTTTCCTTCTGGTACTGATTTTTATCTTTATCTAGATTAGTGTCATATATATATATATATATATATATATATATATATATATATATATGTATTGAAGAAAGGGTTTCTCTGTTTAGCCCTGACTGTCTTGGAACTCATTCTCTAGACTAGGCTGGCCTCAAACTCCAAACTCAGAGATCTGCCTGCCTCTGCCTCCTAAAGGAGTGTGCCACCTTTGCCTGGCATAAAAATAAATATATTTTAAATGCCAGAGGAGATAATTGTTTTCTTTCTTCAGAATTGATTGTGTTACAAAGTTAGAATTGTGTCAGCTCTGTACCACTTGGTGGAATTATTAAGAAATCTCTTGACTTAGCATTTTTAATATTAATTTAATGTGTTTTAAAAATATGCTTTTGAGGGCTTTGTTTCAGAGGTGGAGTTCTTGCCTCTTTCCCATGTGTAAGCACTTATAGTCAGTTCCCAGTCCTGCCAAAAATAAATAGGATATATTTTGTGTAGAAAGAAATTTGAAAGTTATTTCTTTTTCATGATTTTATTAATAGCTGTGTTTTGGGTATTTAACGTTGAAGTTTTCAATGTGCCAATCTTCTTCCTTAGGTTATAGGTTGAGTCCCCAGACACTGGCTGCTATTGTTAAACGCTACAGCAAGAATGGCAGAATTTTCTTTGATGACTATGTTGCCTGCTGTGTGAAACTTCGTGCCCTGACAGGTACTCAGCATTTAAAAGTGGATTCAATTTATGTGGCCATTTTTCTTCAATAGTGTCTTTGTTTCTTTTAGCAAATTATAAGTGTTTTCTCTTCTTTATTCACTATAATATCTAAATAGTCTCAAGGATTTAAAATGTGAATATAAGTAAAGAAACATTGGAATCTCTGAATTTTAGAAAATTTATATATTTACGGTTCTTAGAATGTTAAGACACTTAAGATAGGAGCAGTCTTAGTACCAGGCACTGGGAATTAGTGGGTTTTCAATTAAAATCCTAAAACATCATTTTTGTGTGTAAAGATTTCTTTAGGCGAAGAGATCACTTGCAACAAGGGATTGTGAACTTCATGTATGAGGATGTAAGTATTCTGAATACACTGTAACATTTGTACTTCGTTGTTAGCTATTGAAAAGACATTAAGTGATGGGACCAGCAAGGTAGCTTAATATGTAGATGTTTGTCACCAATCTTATATCCTGAGTTCCAGTCCCGGGACACATGTGATGGAAAGAGAAAACATTCTCATGAAAGCTGTCCTCTGAGTTCCACATATGTTTCATGACATGGAGGTCATGAACATGTATGCAAGTGTGTACACACACATACACACACATGCACACAATCAATTGATAAATATATAGATGCAATAAAATGTTGAAAACCAGTAATTGATCCAGAGCACAAACCCTGAAAATAATATCTTGGCTGGCTACGTTGTTTCCCACATTTCTCGCTAATGCAAATGTAAGGTTATTATTGTTGGTATACTGTAAAAATCGCATGACACATGTTTGGAGTTTTTTTTCCAATAATTTAATGGTAATCACTAGCATTATTTTCATGAAGAGTTGTTAACTTGAGTTATCTTTTCTTGAGAGAGAGAGAGAGCGAGAGAGAGAGAAAGAATACTTTCAGTGACAAAATATGAAGCTGCTCCTCTTTCAATTCAAACATTCCTCATGAACCCACTTCTAGTTGTTCCTAATTGAAGCTAGTGGTTTTCATGTGTGCTTCGGTGCTTTGGAAGTTTTGTTCTGGATTTGTTATGTTTCTTAATGGAAGGTATATGATAGACAATACTTTATTGATATATATGTGTTTGAATTATAAGTCTTAAACAGTTTCATTTTCTTATAGTAAATGTTCTCATGGAATACAGTTCATTTAAAACAAAACCACTGTTGTTGACTTATGATAACGCCCCTCGTGTCTTAGTTTCTACAGGGCACTATGACCATTTGACAGCGTAGCAATGAAAAAGTGAATACTGAAGAATCCTTCTGCTTCACTGAAACAGACTGGACTACCTAAAACTAGAAGTTTGATGAACTTTTTTGTATCCCTTCCTGTTAAAGCTCCGTCCCCTTCCTGTTAATTTACCTTAAAGCACATTTCAATGCAATAACGTTTTTATTTGGGATATATTATTTTTTGGAAAAGTTACGGTGTTGCAGATATATGCACGCCATCTTGAAATGTTGCTAATGATATGTAGTTGATTGATATCAGCGCACCTGAGCCTTCGTTTTTTAACAATAATAGTGTATAGAAATGTAGTTATATGACAGATTGTCTATGAAGCCAAGTAGCAAAAGTCTAGATAAAACTTAATCATGTTATCTAAAGGCTACAAGTTGTACTTCTGATTTTGTTCACGTCTGTGGCTGTTTCTGGAAGTAAGTCAGTTAGAAGGGACATCTGCACATTTTCTGGCTTTGGCTTTGATTACCCCACCAGAGAACATAACCTCATGTTCTTGGCCTATGAATAAGAAATCTGTAGCTCCAAACACTATTTGAATTTGAGTCTGTCAGCCTAAGATAGTAGGTATTGTTTACCTTTTTTATTTCATTGTTTATTTTTCTACAAAATATTTTGTTGTCTTCCTATTTTCTTTTCTTTTTTTTTTCTTTTTAACATCTTTGTTTCTGCTTAGCTTTGTTTTGTGAGACAGGATCTTTCTAGATGGCCCAATAGGTCACAAACCCATCGTCCTCCTGTCTTGCCCACTTTGTGTGTGGAGGTTCAAGGCATGCAGACGTGTGCCTGCCTTAAAATTTGAAAATGAAGATATCTTTCTCTTTTCTTAGCAGTGGCATAGATAACCTAAAATGTCCTCTTTTTTCAAAATCAACCAGTTTTGGAGGATGACACATTTTAGTGAAGTGTCAGCACTTATTCTTGTTTCTTCTTTAAACCCGTGCTGCCCCTAGGTGATGGCGACAGTTTATAAAATGAGAAAAAAATTCATGTGATCCGCTACTGTTCAGGAATTCTGTGTTGGATTAATGGCATGAATGTGTGTGCGTGTGTGTGTGTGCGTGTGTGTGTGTGTGCGTGTGTGCGTGTGTGTGTGTGTGCGTGTGTGTGTGTGTGTGTGCGTGTGTGCGTGTGTGTGTGTGCGTGCGTGCGTGCGCGTGCGTGCGTGCGTGCGTGTGTGTGTGTGTGTGTGTGAATATGTGGGTATGGGTGTACCAAGAAGTGTTTTGATTTTTTTTTCCTTTGTGGACCCTGATAGCATTTCTGGTGAAATTTTCTATAGAGATTTCAAGTAGTCATCAAGCTCTTTGCACTAAGTCCTCTGGTATAAGGTGTCAGAGTTAATTTCGTTTCTAATGTGGAAGACACTTGTCTTTATTAATGAAGATTTGATAAATCACTAAATTGTCATATATTTTAACTGAATATATATCTAGCTGAAGAAAAATGCAAATAGATATAATTTTAGTTTAACTGGTGACCAAATTAAATATTTTTTAAAGAAAACGCCATGTTTTTTTAACAGCAAACCTCTTTATAATTACAGAAAAATGTGAAAATGCTTTTACTTGAAAAGATTCGGGTAAAGAAGTGATGCCTAATTGTTTTGACACTGGTTCCCTATAGTTTGCTATCAAATACATTTGCTCACTTTTATAAAGACCGACTAATGGATATGCCACACAAACTGTCCTCTGATTGTGTTTCATGACCACATATTTGATAACCTGAAAGAATATTAGCCCAACCATTGAATGTACAGAATCTGAAGCCATTGTAGGGAAATGAAGCCACAGTATGATGTTATAAATTATTGAAGAATGGACACTCGTGATGTATAAGTGCTTTTATTTATACAGTAAACATGTCTCCATGTCATTTTGAGAATTTTTTAATAAACATTCAAATAGCTTGCTGTAAAGTTTTGTATCATACAAAATTTGTTACATATGTACTGTTATGAGATGCGTCAGTTCAACAACAGTGCATTAATTCAGCTGTTATCTAAAAGATTGCCAAATGATGAGATGTCAGGTATTGCACTTCTAGTTTGAGTGGCAGTTTACACATTTCAAATTACATCCAGGGCAAATCAATGCTGGGGGAGTCTCGATTTGGTCCACTGAAAATGTCTTTTAAGGACTGTGCTCATTAACCTATTTTAGGCATGCACTCAGAAAAAGGAAAGTAACAAATACATATTCAAGTTATATATTTTTTTTTCAGAAAAGGCATTTACCCTGGAAGAAAGTAGAATTTATCAAGGTAGTTTAAACTCTGTGCAATTAAAAAAATAACAAAATCAATTTGTGATTATTTCTTTAATTAAAATATACACATCAAGTTCACTTGTAATCTTATGATAGTACTAATTGAATAAACAAAATAAATACTACTTATGAGAAATGTGCTTTTTTAAAAATGTCCTTTTATCTTTGACAAATTAAAATGGATATATTTTGTCCTGCTTCATGAACAGCTTTCTGTAAATTTGATAGGGGTATGTTTTTAATAATCTCTAAATTGAACCCATTGCTCAGAATTCCAAACTGCTTTTGATTATCACATCCTCCGGTTAAAATTATAAAACTCAACCATGGCTCTTTTATTACTTTGGTGCTTGCTTAAAAAGATCCCTTTTGTTTGTCTTAATGAAATCATTTATGTAGTGAGTTAAGCTTCCTCAAATAACTGTCTAAGGCTAAGGTATCCTCTACACTATGTCTGGGAGTACTACAATGCAGATGTTTAGAACATCTGTGAGGTGGAGAATGCAGACAGCATTTTAAATGAATACCATTCTTATTTCTCATTTAGAACAATATCAAGACATCTCTCCATATATTAGATTAAAATTTCCTTGTAATTTAAAACAGTGAGAATAGCTAGCAAGACAAGGAGAACTCAGGGACCCCTTCTGACTCTAGATCGGTCTGTCCTTCGGATACTAGGAAACCTGTGCTCTGAATCCTCCTTATCATGACCCCTTCTTATTTTTAGACAAATTTTTCCTTCTTACAAAGGAAAGAATATATGTTCTTATCACTCCTTTAATCAAAGTAGCTTTATTACATATAGCGCAGTATATTAAAACCCAGGCTCGCTTCTGTCAGTCTGAACATATAGTAAGTAGACATACAGAGTGCTTCTACCTGCCTACCGCGCACCACAATTAGGAAACGGATGGGTTTGTGGCCATGTGCTGCTCTTGTTGTCAGGTGAGCCCCTTCATTAACATTAAGGAGTTAACAGAGCTTCATTGAATAGCTATATGGAGAGATGTGTGAGCCAGGGATGGTGGATTTTCAATTCTGACGTACTAAGGGTTGGAGTTTAACCTTTTCTCTAAGCATAAACATCTAAATATATAGACACATGCATATAGCCATTTTGATTTAATTGTCTGTATCGCTTATTTAGTTATCTTATTTTTCTATGATTATTGAAATTGCAAAAGGTAACCTGAACGGTGAGGATGTCACTGTTCTAGAAACCCACTAATTTAAAGAGTCTTGTTAGTTTGTAAATGATAGGCCATTTAAAGTTGACTTTAGGATTTACTGGACTTTTTCTGCATATTTAATTTCTCACAGTTTTGTAAATGCAGGACCCTCAAATGTGTCTTAAGAGAAGAGATAATTACACAGTGGGATGTTTCCAGGGATTTTGCCTTCTGTACTTTGACTCTGACTTCACAATCAGTTTCTCTGACAGAGGGCAATGTAATATTTCCTGCTATCTGTAATAAGTTTGGTTTTACTTTTAATACATGGGGACATATGCTCTTGACTTCTTACATCTTAAAAATGAAGCATGAAGAATCTATGCCACTACACAGACAGTGCTACCCTTAGCGCATGCTGTGTCAGAGCCAACCAGTTTTTGTTTAGAAGTGTCTTTGAGGATAGTACGAATTTTCTTAACTGACACAAAAGCAACGAGGGGAGAAACGAAGCCCGTATGAAACTGAAGCAAGAGGAAATCGTAGCTGCATACTTTTATTCTTGAGTGAAAAGATGAGCCAAGCTTTCGTTACAAATGAGCTATTTTGAATGCATGTTAAAGGCCATTTACTCTTCAGAAAATTTTAGTGAACAAGAAACTTGTCAGTCATTTGCTACCATGGTTCTGATAGGGCAATAAGTAAAATGTTTCTGAGTTCTTTCCATTCAGATTTAATTCTTCCGCCACTCAGCCCAGCTTGCTCTTGGTCTACTGGGCTTCGGTAAAACTGTAGCACTGTTACAACGATGTGGATTTCGAATTGATCAGCACCACCATGCCTATATCTAGCTGTACCTAATAAAATGTTGGAATTTGTTGGCTTCGCTATTAAAAGTACACTAGCTAGCTAATAAGATTTACTTTCTTTTCCCCCAAAATAAATTCTTTTACAAATTCTTGAATTTTTCATGTATAAATAGATCATAAATTATGTTTCATTCTTGAATTAGATGTATATATATATATATATATATATATATACTATATTTTCAATACAACTTGTATACTTCTTTCAGCTACCAAAATGTTGCAACCATTTTTTACAGGAAATTTACATTTTTCTTATGTACAATTATTTGTAGAAGGTTATTGCAAAACTAACTGTGCAAATAGATTACACTGTCAATACCACATACCAATCTTTGAGGAAAATATTGGCTAAAAAATAAATATTTCTGCACAGAATATTTCAAAAGCGTTATGATTCCATGCTACATTATGTGCATAAAGACTATGAAGTAGTATGTGTTTTGGTCGATGGTTTCATGTCGTTTAAAGCATTCCCAAGTTCTATGTAACAGGATGTGAGTGAGCTTTCTTAGATCAGATCACGTTTTCAAGTGATCACACATATTCTTTTCTGAAGTACGTTATTCACTGACTGGCAAGCCTTCTGGGATAATATATTTTCTCATCAGCATTATAAGCTAAACATTTCAGCTATAAAGAGGTCTTGGGCCTTTCATTCAAATCCGTAGGCGCCTAGGCATAAAGTAGGGATTTCTTGATATTTTTTTATTGTGTTTTTGTACCACTTGGGAGAAGGGTGCCATGCCATTTCGTTGCTGTCCTAACTCTACGAGGAGAATGTGGGGAGAGCTCGTCACAGCTCCATCCATCCTTCAAGTTCCCTTCTAGTTAGGGATAAGGAATGTGGTGTAGACTATGCTTATGCACCCGCAAACAATGCAAATCAAAATGAAAGCTAATACAGTTGGAGTGCTCACAGTTGTGGTTATTCACATGTGGGAGTTTTAAAACTGCGTCATAATATACCAGAAGCAGCCCAGAGAATGTGAGTTAAGCATAGAACGCTTTGAAATCGCAGGTGTCCCCAATTAGTTCACACCTTACAAAACACATTGACTAATGGAGTCCCAGATGACATGAGTACAGTTTGGGAATTTCTAAGTCTTGATATTACTTTTAAAAGAACAGCCATGTTCACATTTCCACGTCGCACAATAAAAATGTTTAATTGGGAGCACTAATATCGCGGTTGTTTTTACTGTGTTTGTTTACAGGTTTGATCATGACTGGAAAAGCAATGGACTGGGTCAACTGAGTGTATAGTTTTGAATACATTTTCCATTTCTGTGATTTTTTTTATTCTCATTTATTGTTATAACATGGTAGTTTAAAACAACTTCCAGTTAGTCATCTCTCAACTTGCACGTACTAGTCAACGAAACAATCTGTGGTAGTTTTTTTTCATGCTGTTAAATGTCAGTCTGCGTCTTCTATGAATTTTGTTTTTTTATACTGGGCTTTAAAACAAAGTGTATTTTACCACAAGAGAATATAATGACATTCTAGGCATGAGCGGACCTTGCTTAGTCATGATACCTAATATTTTATAAAGCACTGAAAATATATGCCTTTAGTTTTTAAAAGACTAACACCAGCTTAAGAAGAAACAGAAACACGCAGCTTTAAATGGGGCATCAGGGAGAGAAGGGGCAACCTATGTAAAACTGAGAAAACATCTGCACATCTGCATTGTGGATGTGTCTATAGGTGTTGGGAGCTAAGGCAGAAGAGGTGGCCCCTCCAATCCTGTTTCCTTTTAGCAACCTCATTGTTGGCAGGGGCATGAAAACCACTTTGGGGGTTTGTTACATACTGAGTGTCAGTGTGGAGAGTTGGGTGGAGGCAAGACAGAAAATCACGTGGCAATCATGGCCGTGCCACTACCTGAACACCACTGTGTGGTGCCGTGCAAGCCACAGGATGAATTTGCATCTTTACACAGTGCCTGGTTTCCACACACCTCCATATGTACATTTCAGAGAGAAGTTCAAAAGTCACTTGTCTTTGGATACTGAGGGTCACTTTGGGCTTTTCCTCAACCATAAATGGGATAGGTAGGATTTGATTTCAGCTTTACCATGCCGAGCCTTTTGGCCATTTCCAGCATTCCACACGAGAACTCAGAATGTCCCTGTGCGACGAGAGAAAGAAGCTGGGTGCTTAACGTCCATTACCCTGGGAAGGTCTAGTTTTTGTAAAAATAGCATTGTGTTTACTTTCAAATTAATGACTGTATTTTGTAAAGAGTTTGAAATACCCATGTGGGAACACTCATATCCAAGCAGACACTGCACAGTGAAAAATCCGACATTAATTCAGAGCAATTATTATTTTTTTTGACCGTGGGAATCATATTCTCACTGTTGTTATTATCATTATTTTTCCTTTAAAGCTGCAGCGCTAATAGCACAAAGTTAAGGGAAGATGGTAGCTACAGTTACATGTTTCAGAATCAAAAGCTTTCATCATGGGAACAGCGATTCACTTACTTAGCACTTGTTCAAAAGAAAACTTTTCTTCTTAATTGCTTTTAATGTGTTTCTTGTGGTGGCGTGGGGGGGGGGTCATTTTAGGAAGAAGAGCTGCTAGGCTCGAGTTGGCCTGATGACAGGGGACACTTTGCGGACCTCCGTGTTTCAGTTCGTACACAGATCATGCTAAGGAGAGCTCATTGAACCCGTGCTGAGTCCCAGCCTTCACTTTTTTTTTTTTTTTTTTTTTTTTAATGGGATCTGGGATGAGACCCAGAACTTTTCATTTCCAAGTTCTGAGGTGATGTGAGTGCTGCCATCTTAGGACAGCTTGCAGACACCCCACAGCCAAGCTGTCTTCCCAGGGCCTCTTGGAATGCAGAGTATTGACATGTTTATGTTACTACAAAACTGGGATTAAAAATGAAATAGCTACTCAATTTTTTTTTGATCTAAAGGTTTTAAACATTGAATGACAAGCCCATTTACACATCGAGAACTTGTTTTCTGGTTTCGTTTTTATCCATGAATCAACAATATAGAGTCCTTTGTGTTAAATTATAGCCAGTTGCAGTTCATTTCTAGCTAATTGATCTACTGAATTGCTTTTTTCCCTGACTATAAAGTATGTTATATATTTTAGTTACTCTTTTATATATACTGAGGATGTGAAACATCTCATCCTTACCTATAATGTGTCAGTTGTGATTTGAAATTGACATTTGGATATAAATGTTTTTCTCCTGGGTATTTTGGAGCCATTGTACAAGTTCAAGGCCACATAGCCTTGAGCTCTAACACGCACATATTAAACCGGATTCCTAGTGTCACTATACCTGACTAGAAGAGTAGAAAACTTAATTCTGATAGCCAGTAATTATAATGGCCTTGAAATTTACGTTGTCTCAAATTGGCCCCCTGCTTTCCCCTGTTTTGTTGAATTAGTGACTATTATATTAAAAGGATCACTTCTGTCTTTTTTTATTCCTGGTTTTCTCATCAACTAATTAAAGTAGTGGACTCCCCTCTGGGATAAAATGATGAGTCTTAGAGGCAATTCTCTGTCCAGCAATTAATAGCAGCAGGAGAACATCTCAGCCAAATAAACTTTAAGACAGCATTTTTTTTAAGGGCATGGGACCGATAATAATTTTAGGTTAAAGGCAAAGGTGTTATGTCAGTGCTTCTAATTCTTTCCAAGGAAAGCTGGGCTGCTTTTAGGCTGGTGTAGCATTTAGACCCAGCCTTAGGCAGGACCCCAAGTTGGAGGTGGCAGATTGCATTTATTGTGGGTGCTAAGTAGGGAAATGCTATTTTAAAGTTATTTTTCGGCTGGGACAAGGGAATGCGAATTGTGTGTCAGGATGATTGCTTTTGTTATCCATAAGTCAGTTCAAGTGTTCATCTGACATTTACGACTACGTGTATGTTTATGTTGCTTGGGAACCTTTAAAATTAATATTCTGTGGAAAAAAAGAAACGCTACCCAATCCTCCGAGACTTACGATTTAAACAGCAAACAATTATTCTATGTGGAGGAATTAAGAAGGGACGGGGTTTGGATTGTGCTAGAATCTAAGCCAGCTGGATGCTTGTATACTACCCCTTGTCTTCCTTTTCCTGCATGCCCGGTTTTTATAGAGAAGTACAAATGGAGGCTTCAAATAGGCCGAATCGCATGCATGCCATGCCAAATGTTGCAGCTGAAGCATTCGCTAATCAGATCAAACAATCAGATCTCAGTTCCTCACCTGCCAAATCCTCCTTCCTTACAAATGAGCAATCTCTGGTGAATCTATTCGGAATGCCCATGAGCTTAGGCAGAATAGTCCTTCGAAAATGTGTTGCAGCTGCAGAAATGTGTCCCAATATGGAAATAAGATCTCTAAATCCACATCTAGATTGTTCGCTACTTAAAGGACTCTCTCTCTCCTGTGTGGGGCACCTCGTTTGAATGTTTGCTGAGTGAGTGAATGAAAAGGGCCTGGAATCTACATTTCTATCTGTCCCATATCATAAGATTTGGGAAGCCCATTCTAATTATTATACTTTCATTGACTTCACTGGTCTTTTGCTATAAGTACACAATCACTTATGATTACTTTTCTTAAGTGAGAATAGAGCGTGCCCTATATACAGGTTTACTCCCACTCAGATCAGATTGGCAAACTCTGTGACTGCTTAAAATTATATAGAGCACAGCTTAAGGTCACTCTCATCACAATTTAAATAGAGGAATAATGTTATATGCATTTAATAAATTGCTTGCATTTGAAGTGGATTAACGATTAGTGTTAAAGGTGAAAGAAAATTCAACCATTTAATAACGTGCAGACAAACTACTATTTAAAACTCTGTGGGAACATAAGAATTTTTAGAAAAACCAAGAGGCTCCCAACAAATTTCTAGGTGTTTGTTCAGGAGAAAAGAAAGCTAAGGGCTAGTATATAATAATTTTAAGATTATAATTGAGTTGAAAATAAAATTTAACTAGAGTTTGACCCATCATTAATTGTAAATTGTATTTTTTCCTGTGTTGATTTTACAATCCAGATGCCATCTCCTTTTACAAAACAGTAGATAGCACTCAAAGGTGTTAGAATATATTCTTCCACTATATATATATATATATATATTCTGTGATCAAATCAATATAGAATCAGTCTATCCTATACGTAATGGATTTTTCACTTAATTTTCAACTTACTTAAGAAGTTTCTAAGTGCAGGTGGTGGTGATGCACGCCTTTAATCCCAGCACTCGGGAGGCAGAGATAGGCAGATCTCTGTGAGTTCGAGACCAGCCTGATCTACAAGAGCTAGTTCCAGGACAGGCTCCAAAGCTACAGAGAAACTTTGTTTCAAAAAACTAAACAAATAAAAAAATAAAAGGTTCTAGGTGGGCCAATGAACAATGTTTTCCGCAGCTGGGATAATGAAGCAAGGAAACAACCCCATTTTTAATGAAAGACAATTTTGCTGACAAATATTCTGAAATTGAACATTTAAAAAATATGGGTGTCTACTATTTAATCAAATGAAAGATTGGTCTCACATAAATCTGAACAAATTGTGAATGTCTTTTTATATAAGGGGCATGTTAGGAGCCACCCCAGCACACAAAATAATCTTCAGTTTAAGACTTCAGAAAAATGTACTATTGTAAATATTTTAGGAAGCTCGTGAATGAAGCTCCTGAAGAATTTGCTAGAGACTATTTTATTCTCTCACTGATATTGTCCTGTATTCATAATGGTTTAGCTGAAGACAACCTGGGGAAGCAGTGCGCCTCCTCAGTCTGTCCAAACATAGGGCAGAAAAACAAAGGTCTCTCCTCTCCTCCCACTTGCCGGTCTAAAAGCAGGATATAGAGACTCCTTATGGATAGATTGCTCACTGGCACAGAGACTGCAGCTGCCAGAAGTTTCCTGGGACAGCTTTGCTGTTACTTCTCCAAAATGAGGAGCTCTTGCTGAAGGTCTTCTAAACCTGGGCCATGAAACTAGGGCCTGAGTTCCTGAGGAAACCTCACAGGTGTTTTCTGGAGTTTATATTAACAAACTACAAATCTATTAAGAAGGAACCATATCCTTTGATGCTTTTGGATTTAGCTTCCTTTCTAATACGTGTAAGTCCAACTTCTTTTTTATTGTTCTAGGAAATGAAGGTAAGTAACTATAAACATGTCAATAGAGAAGGAAATCCGTTCTCCAAAGTGACTAACTTCCCTCTATCCCCCCCCTTGAAATCCCGTGAGTGCAGGATCATCTGAGTTGCAATCCTGACCATTTTCATTCCTCAGTTTCTTATTTGCTGGAAGGCTTTTTCATAATCAAGCACTGATTCAGTAATAGCGGCAAATAGGAGTCTCCATGCAAGAGAAACTGGAGTTTCCTAGCATGCACATGATTTCAAAAATAAAATCAAAAAATAAGGTGCCTTGAGATGCTGGCAGTTTGAACATTTGGAACCAAAAGCTCTTAATGTATATTTACATCCTAACTGCTCAACTTTACCCTACAAGCTTCAATTTAGGAAAAATATACAGTACTTTTGCATATAATGGTACCTTGTGAGCCCCTGAGTCAAGTAGAGAGGATTTAAATACAAAAAGGAAAACAGCCATTAAAAGCACTTACATTGGATGTGGAGGAAATAGTACAAAAGGATTACTTTCCTGGAAGACCAGGGTCAGAGACATGCCTATGGAGACCCAGGATCCCTACAGTGCTTAGGGAAGAGTCTGGCAGAGACGGGTGCCGGATGGGATGAAGGTAGGTTTTTCTTGGCCGCGGGTGAAGCTCTACAGACACATCGCCGTCTCGTGTTGAAGGTGAAGTCAACTTTTCTTCTGAGGCTGTGTTCAGATGCCTTCCGCTTGAGGGGGATTCTTTGGATTTGAGTTTAGATTTTTCAAGGTCTAGAAATTCAGGACACTGATAGAAAGAAAAGAAAATACGCTTTCATAATTTACTCCAAAAGCTAACTAAAATTATGTGTTTGTGTAATCCAGATGTGTTTGTTTTCCCCATTCGCTATATGTGGTTAAATGTACTGGCCAACACCTCTCTCCAAAAACAGAGCCCCAAAATTAAGGGTCTCTTATCTCAAGTGAAGAATTTTAATTTCACCCTGAAATAAGATTTAAAGGTTCAGTTTTTTTTTAAAACAAACAAACAAACAACAACAACAAAAAACTATTCACTTTGAGTTGTGTATAAGTGGGTTTTAATTCAAAATTTAGGACTGGATTAATAAATGTCTCTTGCTGATTAGTGTTATCTAAGAAGGAAAGCAACAAAGGAAATAAAACATCATTCCTGTCAGAAACCACTGCCTTAACCAACTGCAAAGAATAAAACACGTTGTGTGTATTTCTCATTCATTCAAAACCTCTAAGAGCTGAACTAACTTCCACATTTTGTAAAAAGTATCATTATTTTCCTTTTGACACAGTGACTTCTGTTATCATGTTTCATTTCCTAGAAAATTTTACATTCAGTTTCCATGCAGAAATGTACATAAGAGTGTCTATACATTCTTATCGAAATAGTCTTTCTTAGGTTCCATTGCCCATGATGCTGAAGTAACTGAGAGGGGCACTCTTAGACGATTAGAGTCACATGTTTTGTCTTACCATGGATATTATCATTCAAGTGGTAAAAACTTAGAGATACCTGGTGGCAAGTGGGGCACAAATGTGTTTGCCACATCTGTCTGGCTGCATTTGAACCTCAGATCGAGCCCAGTTACCTGCCCACTCTTTTCTTCTCCAAGGCCTCCCTACCCTGCCTTGTGGCATTGTAGGAAATGCCAGGTTTTCCTCTGATGTACTTTTTGAATTTTAATTCACCAAGCATGATTCCTCACCGTTAAAATCTATATAGTGCGCCAGTCCATTTAGGTTGATTCTTGAGTAATAGCATCCCCTCTTAGATAACTGTCAATGTTTAGGGAAAGGTGCTGTCCTAATGCATGAAAGCACAGTATGAAGAGTTGGGTGTTGTGCACCTGTAATGCCAGCACTGGGGAGGTAGGGACAAAGGGCTCCCTGGGGATCACCAGCCAGCAAGTCTAGCCAAATTAGTGTTGTTGGTGCATTGAGAGAGCTGCCGTTAGAATAACACACAATGTTGTATATGCTTGTCTCAAAAAATAAGATGAACTATCTAGAGAGAAACCTGATGCTTATCTTCTGGCGTTTACCACTCACTCCCAGCAACAGACAGACACACACACACACACACACACACACACACACACACGTAATTGGTACTGTTTAAATTTTTCTTTAAATCCATTGTTTGCAAATTTTAAGGACACAATGCAAAAACACAGATCCAGTTTCCAGAAACTCTGAGCAGAAGCAGATAGAAGTGGAAATTCCTATTTCTCAGTGTGAGTCTTACTCAGGTGACCCGGGAGATACACTCAAGGAGACACTCTTGGCTTTACCGTGTCTACACTCACTTGTGAGGAGGGGCTGAAACTCCGGTCAGTCTTAATGGATGCTCTGGGCTGACTGGTTCTCAGCAGCCGCAGGACAGGTCTCTGGTATTCCGCTCCTGCGGTTACCATGCTGTAGGCTGGAGGGACCACTGTGCTTTGCTTCTGCAGGAGCTGTAAGATGGTCTGGATGTCTGTTGTCATTTGGGATTCAAGTCTGCAAGACATGCGGAAAGGGGAAAGATAGTCTTAAATAGTCATGACCTGTAGGAAAGGTCAGTGCTGAGAAAGCATTGGCACTACCAACAAACAGAACTATGGGTAGCCCTGAACAGGAAAGACAGGAGCGGGAAGAGAGACTCTCTCCTACCAAACCCTTTCTGTGGAATGAATTACTCTGACTCAGACCATCAATTTATTATGCTCATACTAACAGGAAAATAGGAGTTATGTACAATAAGCTTTATTTCTACAAAACTTTATTGATTTTAAAATATAAATCACATTTAGAATATTGTGACCAATAATTATCTGATTTTGATTAGGTTTTTACTCTACTATTTATGAACTGTTTTTGCCCTCTTCACAGAAGAACTTGGTAACCCATTTCTTTTCTTTTATATTCATTTTTTATTTTTAGTCTATTGGTGTTTTGCCTTCATGTATGTCTGTATGAAGGTGTCAGATCCCCGAGAATAGGAGCTACGAACAGCTCTGAGCTGCCATGCAGGTGCTGGGGATTGAACCTGAGTTCTTGGGAAGAGCAACCAGTGCTCTTAACCACTGAGCCCCAGTAACATATTTCTTTACAATTACAGCACCTCAGGAAAACTTCTTATAAAATTTGTGTTTTCACTATGTGCTGGCTAATCTTATGTCAACTTGACACACAAACTAGAGTCATCTGAAAGGAGGGAACCTCAGCTGAGAAAATGCCTCCATAAGATTGGCTGTAGGACATTTTCTTAATTAGTGATCGATAGGGGTGGGTCAAGCAAATTGTGGGTGGTGCCATTCCTGGGCAGATGGTCCTGGGCTCTATAAGAAAGCAGGCTGAGGGGCTGGAGAGATGGCTCAGAGGTTAAGAGCACTGACTGCTCTTCCAGAGGTCCTGAGTTCAATTCCCAGCAACCACATGGTGGCTGACAGCCATCTATAGTGAGATCTGGTGCCCTAAATAAATAAATCTTTAAAAAAAAAAAAAAAAAAGAAAGCAGGCTGAGCAAGCCAGTAAGCAAAACTCCTCCATGGCCTCTGCATCAGCTCTTGCCTCCTGGTTTCAGCCCTGTTTGAGTTCCTGTTCTGACTTTCGTTGATGATGAACAGTGATGTGGAAGCATAAGCTGAATAAACTCTTTCCTCCCCATCTTGCTTTGGTCATGGTGTTTCCTCCCAGGGACAGACAGTAACCCTGACTAAGACACTATTTGACCTTGCCTCTCTCCCCTTCAAGGCAAGTTCTATATATGAGTCATCATACTTTCTTTTTTAAATTATTTTATTTTAATGATTAGCGCTCTTGAACATTAAATACCTTTCCTATCTCTGGTTCAGAGCTTTAATATTTCAGAGACAGAGGAAACTTAAGTTTAGTCGCTTCTATGACTCATCTGGCTTGCACAATGTACAAACAACCATTGCTTTCTCCAAAGCCCACCAGCAGTCAACCTTTCATTTAAAAATAAATTTCAAGACCAAACCACAAAATATAATTGGTTTGTGCCAGGTCCAAAGGAAACTCCAGTTCCCCAAACTCTAAAAGGCAGTCTAAATATCCGGGAATGAGCTCCACCTGGATTACAGAGGATCTCTGGCACTCAGATAAAAAGCTAGCGTTCCTCAGCAACTTGTGGAAACCCAGTCCCCATCTGCCAGGATTCATTTCCCTTACCTCTGGCAGAAGAACACAATAGCTTCCCATTGATGTATAACCTCCAGCACATATCGCTATATCAAGGTAGCCTCAGGCTTCCTCAGTCCCTACTCACAGGACTTGTTATATACCTCAGGTCCCTGCTGACTTTCCAGCCCTTCTCACCTCCTCCTGGACCGGAAACCCCTCCAGCTGATGGACTTCCCTGCCCTTCCTACTCTTCCCTCTCATAACCCAATGTTTCTCACTTCACTAACCCCCTGCTATTTTCAGCATGTTTTCTCTATCCCCTATCCCCTGTTTTCCCATTTCTTGCAGTTAGCTCTGGTCTTGTCTGTTCTTCTGCTCTGGACTTTTCCAGATGCCTCTGGCTGGTTTCTATCTCAAAAATAAAACCAAACGAAGCAAAAACTAAAACCTTCCCCCTTAACCACACCTCGGACTGCTCACGCCAGCTGTTCCTGTCACATACATCTGCTCTCGCGTACAGTTTATTCCCCGGTGTGGATGGCTTAAGATACGGTATTTCCTTGGTATAAGAACAAAATTTGCACCATATGCCTTATTTGTGCCTATGATTTACCACTGAATTAAAAAAGAGAGAGCTGTACATCTTAGAACTATTTGCCCTATTAAATAAATGTATCTATGGAAATTAGTTTTGTTTCAAAAAATGAAAATCTGGGAAACCTTAGAAAAGCTACACGTTATTTTTAATTTTAATTCTAAGATAGTATCTTCCTGTATAGGGAGGTCAGGCTAGCCTAGCACTTTCTTTTCAAGTCTCTGGGGTTGGTGGAATTACAGGCGTGCCAGACAATAGGTTCTTTTTACCTCTTAATAGTAACATTAAAATCTTCTTTCAAATTCAAATATATCCTTATAGATTTTCTTTCATTAGTAAATATGGCCAGAGAAAGCCTTAGTATTTTTCATACCAATAGCTTATAAAATATGTCTGATTGTGGCACATAAATGCCACAGCTGCATGCTGAAAATGAAAAAAATACAGTTCACCTAGCAGATGACTAAATGCCTGATGTAATTGTGGTACAAATTCAATAGAACCGAACGATTATTTTGTTGTTATGAATCGATTCCTCATCTCATACTTCAGGTTCAGTGCAAATTATGTCTGCATCAATAATTCTTCCCCCGTTTAACTCATTCAGAATTATTCTGTCCTGGGGCGAGACAGACCAGAGGTCTTGGGTTCTTGCTGAGGTCATTTCAGGTTTAACTAGAATTTGATCTCCTTGATGGAGATCCCACGGAAAACTCCCCAACTCTATTTATTCTAGGAACCCAAGGTTAGGATGTCCTAGGTAATTTAGCTTCTGTTAAACTGCCTGTTTGTGAGGGGCCCCTCCAGTTAACTGCTTGTCTTAGCTTTTGTTAAACTGCTTGTTTCTGCAACCGTCCCTCCTGCAGTCAGTGAGATGCTAGGGCGTGGTTTCTGCCTTTAAAAAGCCCTGTGTTCTGGACAGTAGGGGCCACACCTAGGTCTCCCAAACACTTGGGTGTGTTTCCAGCTGGCTTGAATGAAGAGTTTCAATTGGCTGTATACACTGTGTCTGAGTGTGTCATCTTTGTTGAGCTCCCCTAACAACTTCTCTTTCCCCCGAGCCCCGAATAAAATTCTAAATTCAAGCTTCTTCATGAATATTTCTACAAATTTAGCCTATTAATGATGACATCGAAGTAGTGAATGGATTGCATGATGCTCTTTACTCTAGTTGACAGGATACACTGTTGGAGGTGAAATGACTTCTCTGTGGCTATTGGAGTAAAAGCTTCACTGACAAGTCACATTGAAGATGATATTTCTGAGTCTGTTAAAGCCTTTGTCAGACAGTGATAGTCTTTGAGGGAAAAAAAGTCTCTTTAAAATAGGTTCTATTTAAATAACGTCAATGCAGAAACCTAGGCAGCTAGCTATATGCCTGATCGTTGCCGGCTGTGAGTGGGGCTTCTCACATAGAAGGGGAAGTAGCTGGTTTACAGTGAGACTGGACATAATTTGTGCTAATACTACATACGACTAGACTTTCTCTATCAACTTGACTTGGCTTTTGCAAGGAAATTTTGCCTAAGGAAGACGAGCATAGGTCAGGAGCTGGGTTTTATTAGCATAGGAATAGCTACTACTCAGCAAGTCTTGACTTCTTCCTGATCAACCTTCACCAAGTCTCACTAAGTCTTGCTTCTCTTCTCCTTTGAATTCCAAAGCAATATGTGATGAATTTTGTGCAATCCTACTTTTTTTTTTATTTTTATGGGTTGGATCTAAATCGCTATCTCCAGAAGCCTGATATGTTGAAGGATTAGTCTCAGGCAGGTTAATCATGGAGAAGTGATTGGACCACAAGGGTTCTGACCTAATCACTATATGAACCTATAGGTGGATTTGTAATTTGATGGCACTCCCGGGAAGCAATGGAAACTGTCTGAGTTGGGGCCAAGTTGGAGGAAGTGCATCAACAAGAGTGTGCCCATGGGACCTATATCTTGGTGTAGGCACCTTTCTGTTATCTCTGTGTTTCCTGGGTGCCATGACATAAGCTGTGCTCACCATGTTTTCCGTACACCATGTTCTCTCTCACCACATTGCTCAGTAAGTCACAGAAGACAGGGTCTGAAACGGAGGCAATGCAAAATGTGCCTCCTTTGGAATTGCTCCTCTAAGCTGGAAAAATGAGCACAGTTCCCTTTCTTGAAGGCCCAGACTCCAAAGTCCCGTAAGCATTGTACTTCGGTGTGTCCTTTCTGAGACTTGATGTATGTGACTGTCCCTCAGTCTCCTTTCTTACATTATTTTTAGTGCTTTACAAAATGATTCTTTTATCTTTTGTGATTATAAAATAATTATGTCATTTTGTTTGCCCTGCCTCCCTCCAAACCTTCCCATATACTTCTTTCAAATTCATGGCCTCTTTTTTTCATTAATTGTTTTTATATACATATATGCATATTATATTATGTATACACTTACATTCCTAAACACCTAAGTACGATCTTGTGTATATGTTTTCAAAACTTTCAAAAATGAATTAGGTGTTTGATATTTGGGTTGGGCATTTCAGCAAAGGAGAGTATGGTAATGGGTGTCTGCACAATGTACAGTATTTATTTTCATGTTATGCCTAGGGTCTATTTGCTGAATTATAAAGGAGTCTTTTGAGAATAAGTAAAGTACTTTGAAAGAATAAAGGGAATTAAACATAAGTCCAATTTTTCTCTGTTTTTAAAACACAAAACAACCCAGCTTTAGATTTTTTTTTTGTTAGCATAACATAAAGTTGTAGAAAAGGAGACCTGCTATCAATCAGGCTTGACATTAGGTGGAAAGGAGAGATGAGACACCATGAAGAGTGATAATTGATTCGAGCTCATTATAGACAGAATCCATGTGAGGACCAGAGTCCGGATTCCCAGAACCCACAGGAAAAGCTGGGCAGATGTGGCTGCCATCTGTAATCCCAGCACTCAGCAGACAGAGAAGGGAGATTCTCCGGCAAACCTGGATAGCTATGGTAGCTAACTGACAGCTTCTGAGTTCAGCCGAGGAACTGCGAGTGAAGAAGTAAGTTAGAAAAAAAATCAAGATTGACACCTGGTGTCAACTTTGGACCTCCACAATTGCACACATGTGCACACAGCATAACCCTCACACGCGCATCCTCATACATTACATATATACATATTACTATGTAAACAACAGAAAAGAAAGCGAAGGACATGGATAATCGATTGTAACAGTAAACAAAGCAGTACTTCATGTGGTCGTGGAAGGCAAACACATTGCTTTGTGCGTTCTGCAGTGGAAAGGCCACTGACCACAAGTTTTACATAGTTTAGGTCATCTTATTTGTGCTGCTTAGTCAAGCAGCACTGAACATCCCTGGCAGCCTGTTAAAATGTGGACTCTGCAACTCCCAGCCCTTCTGTCTTACAGTTGCACTTCTGCAACTTACCCAGCGACCTGAGTGCGTATTTAAGCTTGAGAAATTCTGCTGTGGGATCAAACATTTGCAATTCCCCCAACTTTGTATATATCTAGGCACACTATATAAATATTTAAGAACATCTACATAAACCTTTAAGCCTACATATAATTATTATTATATTAATTGGCCGTTAATGCAAAAAATGTGATATAGCAAGGAAGATGGGTAGTTATGAAAGAAGTGGAAAGAACTTACCATCCTGGTAGCTCTGGGTTGTATCATCAGGTTTCAGGTAGCATGCCTTTCATGAGGCTTATAGGAAATGCATTAATTGCCCACTTTGCCTCTTTTTAATAAATCATGCTGTGGCCTTTGAGATACTTGCCTTCTAGTATACTTGAAGGTCAACACCGAATAAAACACATTTCCAAACACACTCAGGGAAGCTATCAGAATCTTCATTTTTCCTAGAGTTTTCTTTTGAGGCAAGGCCTACTACGTAGTCCTGGCTGGCCTGGAACTCGCTATATGGATCAACCAGTCTCAGAACTCAGAGACTTGCTTGTCTCCTCTAGATGTTTTTGACCAATTTAACTTTAAAGAACTGAAACGGTCTTGAATAAAGCGTTGCCTCTTTCCCCAAACTAAAATTATTCCTCATATTTGTCTAGATCAAGAGAAGGGGTTGGGGGACCCAAGTCTTGCTTTAGCTTGCGATGCTTTAAAAACATTAATATTTTTGAAGTTGATTTAATAACCATTTTTTCAAAATGTCACAGCTCAGGGTGAATTCAGGAACAACAACTAAATAATATACAAGAATTAAAAGAAGGAGGTTGCCTGTTAAGAAGTCTAATGTAAATTACTTTGAGAGCAGGAGGTGTTTTAATGATAACAGTGCAGATGGTACACGAACGGAATGGTAAGCTAAGGGAGGGTGCTTGGTGGCAAAAGTACCCTAAATTCCATGCTCCTTGGTCTTCTTTATTTATGTGATGTACATACATAAATTCCTCTTTGGCTTCAAATGCTCATTTACCTGTTAAGTTGTTCTTGAAGTAGATCTAACCTTTGCTCCACTTCCCCATAGGTGAGGTCACTTTCAGTCTCAGAGATCCCCCAAGCAGCTCTCTGAAGTCCTGGCGGACTGCTTTCTTCAGGCTGAGCCCTGGCAGGCTCTCTTTCCCAGCTGTGTGCATCAGTGATATCTGTGGGAGAGAGCAAGACAGATGTCAGTTTCTTTGGAAGTCCCTTGGAGATACAGTACAAAAACCCCTGCAAGGCAGACTAGGCGCATCTCCAGGCATAATCCAAGACAGAGAGAAACACAGGAGCTCAAAGACATGGCAATCACCATCTCCAGTCTGTAGCAGAATCTTAACCTTAAGCTGTCTAGCTTACCTCCCCCATCTCTTTTCATAGGGTTCACAATCTACAACAGGACATAAGATTTTTTTCCCCCAGGTTATGATTTTTTTCCCATCTTTTTGTTAGTGCTGAGAAGACATGATGGACAAATTCAAATAGATCAAACAACTACTATTTAATTGGGAGAAGATAGCAAGTTTGTTTACAATGCTTTACCCAGAACATAAGAGTGTTAGCACCCCTACACATAAGGTAATTTCCATACATTATGGTTCTGCTTGAGCCCCAGTAGAAGGTCAGGAGGGCACTGTGGGTCTTCTGGGTGTTTGGGGAAGTCTTAAATGTGATGGCTTTGTTGGGAGCCTAGCCAGTTTGGATGTTCACCTTCCTAGATATGGACGGAGGGGGGAGGTCCTAGGTCTTACCACAGGGCAGAAAACCCTGACTGCTCTTTGGACTGGAGAGGGAGGGGGAAAGGAGTGGGGGGAGGGGGAGAAGGGTGGGAGGAGGGGGCGTAGGGTGGGAGGAGGGGGAGGGAAATGGGCGGCTGGGAGGAGGTGGAAACTTGTTTTTTTTTTTTTTCTTTTCTCCTTTTCTCAATAAATAAAAAAAATACAGAAGCAAAAAAAAAAAAAAGTCCTCTGCTGCTCTTCCATGCTTTCAACTTCCTTAAAGGTTCTTTTGTGCTACATTTAATATAGTCACATTGCTTTCTAGAATTTTCTTTTTGTGAACCTTTATTATAAATACCTTATGTTAATATACTTTAAAACAAACTTCTTATGTGTTCAATTCTACTTTTCTGGTGTGCCAAGTGTTAAATTCCAGATTCTGCTAAGCATGAGGAACTGAAGACAAAGACTGTGAGTTCAACTCAGAATGTCCGTGGTCATTTTTCATATAATGATTCATTACATAAATTATATATTTTCATATAATGATTCATTACATAAATTATATTTTTCATATAATGATTCAGTAACCTCTCCTAAAATCTCCAAATATATACTACTTTCTTCCTCATTTTTGTCAAGAAATTTGATGCTTTGAACCCACTTTCTTCTACAAAATGTGTGAACGGTAAGGAAATAAAACCGGTGAAGAAATGCAACTTGACTTGGGAGATTATCTCAGGGATAAAGAAAAGCAAATTTTTTCCTTCATGGGAGAGCTGGTGGGAGGGAAGATGTCCCTCAAGTGGGTCTTCTCTTTGCTTCCGAACTAGCTTTGGGTCATAGAATGTGGTTCGAAAGACATTTTAAAAGAAAGTCTTGACAAATAGCTATGGTTAAACGGCAAGGAGAGTTATTACATAAGATATGGAATTTACATCCTTTGCTATTTTTTTAAAAAAGGACTGAAAGTAACTAAATCTGGCAGGATTAGCGATGAGTCTAGAAATAGGGAACAGATCTGTGAGACTTCCTTTCCTATGGTTTCTCTGAAAGCACTCTGGTGGGGGGGAGGGTGCCTTGTACTCCCCCTTTCTGAGCAGATGACAAAAAAATATTCTTTTTCCATGAGTTTTCTCTCCCTATCTTTTATCACTGGGTGTACAAAAAAAGTCTCTAATGATGTGCTTTTTATTTCTGTCTCAGTAGGGGAGGCTATAAGGCAGGAATTAGCATAACCAAAGACAGCATGAGAAAAACAAGGCCAGGTTCCTTGTTTTGTTGAAATGGCTAACAAACCTCAGAGACTTCTCTGTGACATCCAGAGGAGGCTCCTGATTATGGCATCTGTAAAGCCCGCAGGATCTTGGTGTTCCATGCTTTTCTACAGTGTCCGTGTATCGCTTATTTTTCCGTCTTACCGGACAGGGAGAAACGCGAATACAGAAGTGACAGGGCGATTTTCCTGGAGAAGTATGCTTGGTTGTTCACAGACATTTGCACCACTTTAAAATGCAGACCCACAACCGAGTGCCTTGGTAAACTACGTTTCCTACTCTGTGTCGGTGATGCTAAATCAGCATGGAGAACGTGCGCAAGGAGCTTGGAGATGCCAGGCACCGGGCCCCTCTTGATTCTCAACAGCCAGTTCTTGCAGGGACATTACTTTAGAGAGGTTGAGAAGTGATAGCATTGAAGGCTATGCAGTGTCCTCATGAGCTCGGTGCCAAGTAACCTCATTGAATTTCTGCCTCTGCCTAAGAGCCCCCTCCTTCTCCAATTACATAGCACATTGATTTTTAAATGACTCTGGTGAGTCGCATGCAGTAACTTATGGAGGATAGTGCTTTTCTTTGATGTTTAAGAAAAGGATTATCTTAGCAGAAATGAGTAAAATATGTACTGTGAGATTGAGGCTTCCTTCATCACAACTTAATTTTTAATTGAAATTTAGAGATATGTTATTAATTTGATTTAATGGCAGAATGAAAGCTAAAGAGTTCAAAGGGGGAAACCCTGGTTGGTTGTCTTAATCAAATGAGCATCCTTGTAGACACTTTCTAAAAATAGCTCAGACGGTATCTGCACTGGTTGCCTTGGAAAATGTTGCCATAGTTGCAAGACACATTTCTGCAAATGGATGAACAGAGGGTAAACCTTCATTTTCAGAGTTCACAGTTTCCCTGGAGTCTACACTTGACCTCAGCACTAGGAAGGCCAGAATCAATTTAATTTTTTTTCTTTTAAAGTTTTGCTGAAATGACCCCTTCTTTGGGATGACAAGTCTCAGAATGCAAGGGAGTGAAACTGCCTATTGATAATTAAACGAAACAGTCAGAACCCAGCAGTTTGATCTGCAACAATTATACCTACATTTACATATCGAAGCTCATTACTAATACACAGCCTTGCACTTTGAAAGTTTCTGGGGAATGATTTTTTTCAGTGAATCAAGTTTTTAAATTCTTCACTGTAATTATATTAATTAGTCATGTTCAATGCATGTCATCTTGACTGAAGCTTTATGTCATCAATTCCATTTGTCAATAGGCATGCATATTTAGCTATGCATTATCAAGATAATTATTCGTGACTGGAGTGTGGATTTCATTATGAATTTTTGAAAACATGGATGTTTGGACATGTTAAAATCTCCTGAAAATATAATTTGTTGGGCACAGAAAAGAGTTAATTAAAAGTTGGAAGAAGAAAAATTATAAAACGAACGGCGTTTGAATTCACTGTCAGGGAGAATCATTATAAAGTCAAATAAAATCTCAAAAATATCTTTAATGACTTGTCACTTGAGAGCCTAATATTCATGAAGAAAACATGTTTTTACAAAAATCATCTTAAAATCATTTTGTCCATAGTAGGTATTGTTCAGTGAGTTCTTCAGAACTCTGACTTCCTGGATACAACCTGTTTTCTATTTTTAGTCCTACCCAGAATCCATTTTCATAAATAACTAAAATGGGACATTTGGTAATCACATCTAATATTCCATTCTTCCACTGTGATGAATGAGATACTATTTCCATGCATTCCATCAAGATTTTAGGCTGTCTAGAGGACATTTGCATATATTCTTAGCTTATTGCCATGTGAAATCACGACAAAAGCTTATGTGACATGGTGGGGAAGATAGGGAAAGGAACTCTAGGAAATTAGCAACCCTCGCCATCTTGTCTCAACACACTTGGTTGTTGGACATTCCTCCGAAATGATGGTGATGACAAGGACTGCCTGCCTTCTCAGTGGCATAGTTTTCTTTCCTCCTAGCAAAGAATCCTGGTTTTCTTCATTTATGTTATAATCTTTTGATGTTTCATAATACCGTCTTTAAAAAGATTTATTTATTTTTATTATGTGTATATATGTGTGTGCTGCTTGTCTGCATGTGTAGACAATGCACATGTATAGAGAATCCATAAAAAGACAATGGATTCTCTGGAACTGGCGTTACATGCATTGGTGCACCGCTAGATGGATATGGGAGATAGAAACCAAGCTCAGGCCCCTGGTAAGAGCAACAAGTGCTCTCAATGTCCTAGCCAGCTCTCCAGCCCTGTGAGAGGCCTTTTCAGTGTCCACATTTAAATTAAATAAGTAAATAGTTGGAAAATAAAAACCTAGCAGAAAATATTAAGTAAAACTTAAGATTCGATCCCAGAAAATTTTATTTACAATTTATGGTTAAATAATCCTAATCAGTTGATTAGATAACATTGATTCTATCTTAAAGATGAATAAATTGGACCCTGAGGTTGATCAAGCAATTTGCCTAAAGTCATACAGGATGGCAGAGCTAATTTTTATAATCCAATAAGTCTGACCCACATCTCCAAGTTCACATAGATAGCAAGATCTAGCTAGATGTAGAGATCTGGTACACTGATTGTTCATCCAGTAACATTTTTAAAGTGTTGTTTCATATCCTTTATCATAAATTCTGAAAACGAAAGCACACTGCTCAGTTCTTGTGTATTTTCTACAACAGAGCTTGCATTATTCCTTTTGAAGGAGATGTGAAACAAGAATGGTCTCAAGAATATGTTTTATTTCAAGCTATTCCTCATCTTCATACTTCACAGTAAAACACAATTGGATGGAGCTTCTATGTTATAAAGTTATTAAGGCTGAAGTTAAGAATTGGTACTGAGGATGAATATAAAAAAAACTTTAAGCTGGGCGGTGGTGGCGCACGCCTTTAATCCCAGCACTCGGGAGGCAGAGGCAGGCGGATCTCTGTGAGTTCGAGGCCAGCCTGGTCTACAAGAGCTAGTTCCAGAACAGGAACCAAAAGCTACGGAGAAACCCTGTCTCGAAAATCAAAAACAAAACAAAACAAAACAAAACAACAAAAAAACCCTTTAACTTGCTAGCTCTCAGCAAACAGCCTCTGATCCGCCCTTCCTATAACCAACAAACTGCCAATAGCGCTGTTCTTCTTAGTCTTATACTAAGTTTAATTGGCCATAAAAATTTCCCAAACTAAAATTTATATATGGGCAAACCCTATAGGCCATCATTCTTTCCCCCGTGGCTTTGTAGTTATTTTCCAAGAACTACAGTTCCCAGAATCCCAGGAAGTCACCTGGTCTAATGTGGGGCATACAGGTTAACTTTCGGTCTAACGTCAGAAGAACCTGGACTCGTGCGGTTCTTCGGTTTTGAAAAGCAACCATCTCCCATCTAGTGATGAGGAGAGAGTGTTGACGCTCAGTTACCTCTGCAAGAGTGGCTTCTTTTATCCATGTGGATTCTTCCTGAGGGGGGCACTGTTTCTTCACCGTGGAGTCGGGTTGACTTCACCTTTCTTGGAGTAGAGTCTATGGTTCCCAAGAAGAGTGGCTTTTGTTCATCATCGATGGAGGAGATGAAGGACGACGACCTGCTTTTCCTTTCTTCGAAGGGCTTTTTGGAACCCTGATAACGCCTTATTGTATCTGTGGAATCGTCGGGATCATTTGTGCTGTTTTCTTTGCTAAAATCTATCAAAGAGAGGTTATTTTCATAGTAAAAAATCAAATGTGGGACCTTGTGCACATTATACTAAATAGCTGTAAGCAAACTGCTGTTTACTCGTGGAAAAATGTAGCTGTGTGGACCCTGCTAAATTCAAGGGTTATTAGCTTATCTTCACGAAGTAAATCACTCATTTCAAAATTTAAAGACATCAAGCAAGAGTGAGTTTATGTGGAAGAAAAATGATACGAAAATTAAAAATCACACACAGTCAAGTCTTATTTAGTCTTAGAATCAAGCATATTATTTCTTGAGGAAAGTGGAGAGACTAGAGAAAATGTGTCCTAATTCTAAAATATCACCAACGATACAGCTTGTTATTTTTTTTTTAACCTTTATGCCATATCATGTGTGACAATCATTCACACATTGTAAAGGTCAAATCTGGAAGTCACTTCAGGAAAGTCAGGCAGGCAAAGTTTCAACCTTAGCTTAGTAAATGGCCTTGACAATTTAGGGAGTTTGATTGTGTAGAACCTTGCAAAGGATATGAAGCTTAACTACAGTAATTGAGGTAAGCTTCTTTACCTAATTACACTAAGGCCACTGATGCATACTGACTACTTCATAGAGAAATGTCAGGATAATTTGAGCCCCAAAGGTTGTTGTGTTAGAACATATTTCAGCCAGAAAAACTCAGAAACAAATCTCCAAACTTGTTTCTATTAGTGTCCTGGGGAGAGAGTGCAATTCTCCATCTGGTTCCTGCTAATAACCAACCAACAAAACTCCAAGAGGTATATCATTTTCTGGAGAAATTTTGAAGCCTGTGTCCCTATCCTCTCTGTGCCTGATGTGCTCATTTCGTTATTTATAGAAGGCCAGATGAACAGATTTAAGGCCACTCCAGAGAAACTTCCAACTGCTTTTCAGAATTCCCATATGGCAGAGAAATGAAACAAGGATCCTCCTTTCCCTCTTTTTAAACAACAACTTATAATTTAAAAAAAATATTAAAAGCCAGAAAGCAGCTCAAGGTAAAAATGTTCAGTGTTTAAAAAGTAGTTTCATCTGGAAGTATGTGGTCTGTCAGTCTAAGTCTAGCAAATGCAGAGAACCTAATGTATTTTCTTAAGGCATCACACTTGTTCGGCCATTCCATCAATGCTGTGAACACTGCACACCCTCACGCTGTCCAGCAGGATAGTGACGACTACTACTCCGAGATTCATGGGTAGCCACTCAACTATCAATGTATGTGTGAATATTCTGATCAACACATGCAAATGTCCTTCTCTTCAGGATCATTGACCCAACTCCCCATAGGCTTCCAGACTTCATCCTTCTCATCATTCTCTATTTTCTTTATCTGTTCTCTTGAAGAACCTTTGGAAAATATCATCAACATTCTCCCCCTTTATGAGCACATCACTTCAATCCTCAAAAAAACAACTTAATTTATTTTCGCCAAATTTATTTTAGTAAGTTTGAGAAAAGAATAAAAGCTTAGCTTTTCTAAGTTTCCCTGTTTTAGATTTCCGCAGCCTGGGTCTCAGTTTCACTGTTCTAATTTCTCACAGCCTGGGTTGCTAGTCCCAACTAACCCTTTTGTAATTAATAATCTGGGCAGAGTGGTATTTGTATCAACCCAAGCTTCCCATCCCCTTAATATTGTCATTCTTTGTAACTGTATCATGGCGTTTGTTCCTAGAGGAACCAAATTTAAATTAACCTAACCATCGATTCATGTGCCTCTCATCCAAGTGTGGGTAATTATCGTCAAGACATATCACCGGCTACTAAGATACGTGGTCACATTTGATATGTAGTGTTCTGTAAATTTTCAAATCCCTACATGTGGCTGTCTCAGCAGTTCAGAGGATTTCTTGATTTTCCAAAGGACCCAGGTTTGGTTCCCAGCACTCATAGCCATCTATAAAGCCAGCTCGATGGATCTAACAACTTCTTCTCACCAGCTTTGGCACAAGGCGCGTCGCACATGGTACACAGACATACAGGCAAACACTTGAACACATAAATAAAATAAATAAATCTTTAAAATATTAAATCTCATACGAAAAGACGTTCCATGTCACCTTCTACAAAGGCCCAACATTAACTTACTAACTCATGGCTTCATTTCAGTTGTTTAGACATAAGATATTGTTTAACATGAATGAATTAAAACAGGCTGATTTCAATTTAGGAGAGGTACACAGACTGTGATGAGTAAAGAATTACAAATATTTAGCTCAATAGTTTAAAATGCCATTTATTTCATACACATAGGACTTACCTCTTGTGACAATTAGGTTTTTTTTTTGTTTGTTTTCTTTTTTGTTTTTGTTTTTGGTCAGCTTGACATAAACTTGAGTCATGGGGAAAGAGGGACTGATGTGGGAGGTCATTCTGTCTATGTGTTGGTTTTATTGGTTAATGAATAAAGAAAACTGGCTTGGCCTGTAGCATGGGAGGAATAAGGTGCAGTAGGGAGAAGCAATGGAACCACTGGAGACAGAAGCTGGGAACATTACCTGGTAAGCCACTGCCACGTGGCGATACACAGAATAATAAGATGGGTTAAATTAATATGTAAGGGTTAGCCAATAAGAAGCTAGAGCTAATGGCCCAAGCAGTGATTTAAATAATATGGCTACTGTGTGATTATTTTGGTTCTAAGCTAGCCAGACAGCCGGGAAGAACAAGTAGCCTCCTACAACAAGGGACTGGCCCATAGGGGATTTTCTAGCTTAATTATTGATGTGGGAGGATCCTGGCCAGTGTGAGTAGTTCTACTGTTGGGCAGGTAGAACCTGTTTGTATAGGAAAACATGGAGCCAGGTGGTTCCGGATTGTATAGGAAAGTAAACTGAGCAAGCCATGGAGAGCAATCCAGTAGGCAGTGTTCTTCCCCAGCCTCTGCTTCTCCTTCCTGTTCTAAATTCCTTATCACCTCTCCACGCCTCAATGATGAACTCTAAGCTGTAAGCCAGCTAAACTCTTTCCTCTCCAAACTGGCCCAGTCTTTTATCACAGAAATCCCATTAGCAAGAAGTTCAGGCAAATGAATCAAAAAAAAAAAAATGGAAAGAATTTGATGTTCTTGAATGTTTCTGCATTCCACTAGATTATTGCAGTCTGTGTGAACAGCTGCTTTGAGAGAGCCCCCTCCAAACAAGATTTTCTGTTTAATACTAGCTAAATTAAAACTTCATTTTCTATCATAGAAAATGGAAATAGAAATGACAATCTACTTGTAGCCTGAAAATAGAAATTGTCATGTTTGGTCTGGTAGCTGACAGGTGTAATCCATGCGATTGAGCTGTTGGCGTGCACTGTTGTTAGCCTTCAAGTACTAGATTTTGATGGCCTGTCCCATTTCTGCCTCTCTGTAGAGAAACTGATTTGATAGCCATTAAGCAGGATTATAAAATGCCTTTCTTCATTCTCCTCATATTCTGCATAGGCATTCCAAATATTGAAGATAGATGGTGATTACATTCTGAAACAAATCTGAGGATATTTATGTTTTCCCCTTGTGTATACATGAGATCACATAATCACCCATCACAATCGCTTTACGAAGAATTCTTTTCTGCTTGTTTAAGTTGATCCCTGTTTTCTGAATCGGAGGACCATAGGGCCAGCAAAGCCACCCCCCTCCCCCCCGCGACCCCACACAGGACATAATTATACAGCGTGTGTGGCTTTCCTTGTAGGTAACTGTAGCTTTAGGATGAATTCGAGTTAATGAAATTCAACTTTTTGATGGAGTAGCTGACGCAGCTGCCTTACGAACGATAATAGAAAAAGCTTCCTTGCCAAAAAGTCCGGGGATAAATTCTTAAACTCCCTCTGTCTTTTACAAGAACTTCCTTTCAGATTAATTACAACTTTTATTAGTCAGACCCAACAGGGAGACATAACTCTTGGTCAAAGAGAGACATTTAATGAGGTTTCTAGGCATTTGGGCTTTATGTCTCCCACTGGTGACGATTTGGAGGTAGTCTGAGTACTCTCCTGCTAGTTAGGTTAGGAAAACATTTTATTGGGAACCTAACGCCAGGAAAACACTTCTTCACTTGTCATCAAGTACCTTAGGCTTAAAGGGGACCCTAAAGTAGGCTGCCATACAAATACTTGATTAAATAGTCTTACAAACTATTTAGAAAGAAAAGATTCGTTTGGGGAGATGTCACAGTTTTATTTAGGACAAATAAGTTCTAAAACTCAGTAGTAAAGCAAGATAATGACAGTCAACTCATGGCGTGCTTAATACTTCCTGGGAGCAATCTTAAACATTCTTTCCACACAGAAGAAAGAAGTAATGGTTATGCTTGTGGCATCTCTCTCTCTCCCCCTGCAGTGTGTGTGTGTATATCCAAATATCACATTATATACTACTGTTACAGTTGTACACAGCTTTTGCTTTTCAAACATGCTTGTTTCTAAAGATCTTGAAAAGAAAGACAGGTTTCATATATATGCCACTAAAATGGGTAATACGAGTTATGTTGTTTTGTGGGAGATCTATTTATTTATTAAGACATATGTAGCCACTAGTTAGCCCAGGACTGTCCTGAACAATGTATATCACCCCGCTCCTCCTTCCCAAGTGCTGGGATTATAGGCATACATCACAGTGATTGGACATTATTTCTTTTTGAGAAAGACAATCTGGAACCCAGACATCAAATTATTTTGCCACTTTATTTAAAGGATTGATTTTTTTAAAAAATTAGCTTTATACCCCGTCTTGCTCATAATATAATTTTAACAATATATGCATTTATTCCCTTAGTTACTTTCATTGATGTTATTTTCTTTTGAGGAATACTTTCAAAGTGTGTTGCATTCTGGCATACAATATGAAATAATTAAACATATAAAGTAACACTACTTACTGTTATCAGTAGAAATGGAAATTGTAATGGTCTCAGGGTGCTTGTATAGTGCTCGGAGGAACACTGAATTTTTAATCCTACGTTCAATGTGGGACTACGTACACCCACTGGAAGAAGGTGAT